TGGGGCAGCCCTCCAGGCTGGGAGGAGCAGGTGGGGTTTGCTTGTGATTCAACACTGACAGTTCTGATGGACACTGGGTGTTGGTGGAGGTACACACTAAGGCTTTAGCAGCCACTTTTATGGAACTCATTGCTAATGATCTAAGTCTTTTGCTTATTTCCAAGGCAGACTCCTCACAGGGAGAATGATCTCTGAGGACAGCCTGGGCTTTCATAAAGACTACTGCATACATATTATATTGAGTTTTCTCCTCCCAAGCCAGCTGTGGGATAGTGTGCAGGGAACCTTACAATTTGAAGCACTTACAACCTCAAAATAGCCTCTTATTCATAAGTAGTCCATCAAGGTTAGTATTACATGACTATTATGTGGTAAGCCAGGGAGAATCAGGACATCTGGAGGTCACAGAGAGGAGTCCACATAATGTAGTGCATGAAGAGTCTCTCCATTTCTCTAACCAGAATTTATATTTAGAAGGGCATGGTCAGCATATACCATGGTTAATCCTACCATGTGTAGAATTTTCTGCAGGCTTTATCTCCAAATAACCTTTTAGAAGACTCTTAAAACACTGATGAAAGTACAATGCCTAATGAGGTAAGTAATGGAAGCTAATGTTAATCAGTGCTGGATGAAGACTCAAAGGAAAAGATGTGCTAAAATACCAAATGTGAGTTTGTTTCTACATTATACTTTTGTTTTATTCAATGCTGAAGTAATTTCTGAGGTGTTATTTTGTCTGAAATATCAAAAGCCCTAAAAAATATTCTAAATCACTTCAACCCTACCCAGTGAAATTATGCCTTTTGGTTAGGAAATGAAAAAACAAAAGCTAAATGCATGTTTTGCACTCAAACATAGCACACCAGGGAAGAGGCTGTACTTAGCCCTGTACTAGTTTTAAAAAACCTTAAAAAGAGAGAAAGTCCTAATGTGAATATGCAGTAATGGTGTATGGAAGATTTAAGATTCTTTTGAAGATAAACCTTTAGCCTCACCCAATTCAACTCAGGCTGGCCAATATCAGTCTTAGTAGAATTTGCTTGACTGAATCCTCTACCATACAATTCCACCTGTGTAATACCTTCTTCTTTCTCAATAAGAAGTTTTATCTGAGTAAAAACATTTACTCTCTTTGTTTCCTCTGGATTTTTCTCCTGCACTGAAACCTTTTTAGTAACTCTGGCTCTGTTGTGATATCTTTCATGGAACCCCACTAAACCAGAGAGAGAGTAGAATTTGGCTCTATTTAAAAAGAGTAGCTATTAAAGAAAGGGAAGCTTTAGCCTCATCTGACTTTTTTGTTGTACCTCACGGTTGCAGTTTCTCTGGGAGAACATCTGAAGAGATACACAGACATGCAAAAATGGTCCTTTGGTTCTGTGTTGTTGCTTTAGCCTCATCTGACTTTTTTGTTGTACCTCACGGTTGCAGTTTCTCTGGGAGAACATCTGAAGAGATAGACAGACATACAAAAATGGTCCTTTGGTTCTGTGTTGGTTTTTTTTTAATCCTTTCTTGAATGTGTATCAGTCTCTTGCAAATAATTGTTTGATGGGTAACTTTTTACTGCAGTGATTACAATACTTTGTAATAATTGAGTAGACACTGTGCTTTGATCTAATACTGAAGGGATTAACTTGCCTTTAGAGATTCTACTCCACTATCTTTGTAAGACTGGATAAACAGGAAACCTTGCATCACTTTCTCCTTCTTGACTAACTAGGGTCAATTGTACTTTATGAAGCTAATACCTTGATAGATAAAGAAAAGTGGGAGTGATAGTGATACCTATATTTTAAAGCCTCACCTGGAGGAGAGAAAAGGAAGATGTTGTGAAAGGGAATAGCAGTAACCAACACCATCATAGCTGCACAGCAATGTTCATTTTAATGTCTCCGTGATCAGGAGCTTCTAACTTTCTGCCCTCTTTACCTTGAAGTTGACTATCTTCAGGTTTGTATCCTTTATGCTTTAAAAACCAGCAATGAAACCCATCTGAAAAAACACCAAACACAGCAAACTGGGTAAAATACTTCACATTTTAAGAAAATTTCTCTGAAAATTTGGTTGTCTTTTTAGAGTTCCTGGTTTTGAAAGATTTGAGGTAATAAAACTTGCCTTTTTCTTGACAGCAGCAAATCTGAGCATAAGTATTGCTGTGAAATTAGTTTCACTGTGATGAAGAATAACGTATTGGGTAGGTGCATATTTCATGTTTTCCATGGTCAAAATCCACCACTGTCCCAGATTCCAGGGGCTCGTGGTAAGAGCAAAGTACAGCTTGTCCTTTGCAAGGGTTGCAGAACTGAACCCTCACTTACAAAGTGCCTAACTAAGAAACTGTTTTGTTTGTATGTGCAGAGTGGGAGTGTTTTGCAGAGCACAAATTGCTACTCACTGTTAGTAACCTGACAGGAGGGACTCTCAGTATGGCGAAGGAATGACTGGCATTGCACTCATCTTGAACTTCCATGCTTTCAAAACAGCTGACAGATGTGCACATCTGGATTCTAGCCACACAGGCTAATTCTCTCTGACAAGAAGCTGCAGGAGAACTTTTGAAATTAAGCCTTCATTTGATACTTGCACTAATGCCTGCAAACTACACTGCAAATGACTGACCCTTCTCAGCCAGAAGGTGCAAGTCAGATGCTGCCCCTGTGACTGGTTTGCGTAATGTTCCTCATTGCTTGAGGAATCCCAGGGGGAGAAAGAACCCAGGTTCCCTGATAAGACGTGTCCTAGGAGAGAGCAGTGGGGTCCTGGAAGGGAAAGCAGCTGCTGAACAGCAGGAGTAGAGCAGGAGTCACAGCTTAGGGAAGGTAAAGCACCAGCACTGAGAGATGGAGTAACACAGAGGTGGCTCCTGCCGGGGGACAGAGAGCAGACAGTGCAGTGGCAGCAAGTCCAGACTTGCTGAGAGGCAAACTGCCTTCTCCAGACAGCCTCTCTAACTCTTTTTCCTTATTCCAGTGGTCCCTGCTAAGCATCTCAGTTGAGGCCAGGCTCCCTGTGCTCGGCTGAGCGCTGCCCGCCTCTGCTCGGGGCTCGGCGCTGCGCTCCCAGCGCTCCCTAGCAAGCCGCGAGTGCACGGGGGAGCCGCAGCTGCCTGTGCTGAGAACCCTCGCTGGCGCTTCTCGGTCTCTGGGGGGAGGAGGTGGAGGGCGGAATAAGGGAAGAAGGCTGCCTAGGCACTGGGGAACACGTACAGCCGCTGGCGTTAGTGATCCGTGAGCCAGTCTGTGAAACTGCACAGCAAAGTGTGAAACTACAGAGTTACAAACCCGTACACCCAGCAGCTACAGTCCTGTCCTACTCACTATCTGCCTGCCTCATGTCCTCGAACGTGCTTCCTTTGCCACAGGGCAGGGAACTTCCACAGCACCCTAAATCCTTCCCCTCCTGTTCCCTCACACCCACATTTGCTAAAGAATTACAGTTCTGTGCCCTGGTCTGGAATCAGAGCAGTGGAGAGCTTTCATCTGAAAGTTGGGAAAAAAGCAGCCAAAAAGGCAAGTGCAGCATGTGGTTTACTTAATGTAGCTTAGTGTTAATTATTTATGATAATTCATTATTTTCCCAATATATTGCCTAGTGATACTTGTCATTGTAACAACAGTTAATAAACAATTCCCAGGTCTGCAGGCAACCAGACCTTATGCATTATAGTGAAAAATGCCTACAATTTGCTTTTAAATATTGTTGTTATTATTATTAGCCTACCCTTTCCAGCATTAATTCTCCATGGATTTCTGCATCTCACTGTTTCCTTTCCTTCTTGCTCTCCCTCTCCCATTAAGCCCAAAACAGTGACATGTGTTCTCGTTCACTAACTGTACACAAGTGCTACTGTACTATTGCAATGTGTTATAAATAGCACAGATTGAGGAGTACAGTTCATTCTGAAAAATTATCTTTAGAGATGACCTATGAAACTCTTAACTATTTCTTTCCTGTTTTTCTCAGCACGCTCTGAATTGTGATGCTCTTAATTTGGTGCAGTTTATTAATTACAAAAGAGTGTAGAGGCTAAGCAGTAAGCAGAGGATTTGAACAATGAGGTGCATAATTAAAATGGATTAATGAGGTGGATAAAATAAAGGGATTGAGGCCAAATGGAGCACAAATTTTCTAAACATTATTGGCTCTGAAACTCTTATCATCCAAAGGCACATTCCTCTTTCCAGCTAGATGTCTGTTTCTTATCCAGAAGTGTCAGTCATCTTTCATGCCAGGTTTATTAATATGTCCCAGGAGAGTTGAGCATCATCTAGTGTTTTCTCCTGTAGCCCTAAGTTCCCCAGCTGGTTTGCTTCCAACTCATTGCTGCACCTGTTTGCACTAATATGTTAAAAACCACCCCAAAAGCAGGTCAGAGATTATACTAATCCCGTGTCTCTGCAAGGCAGTAAAATGGTTTTCAAGTAAACAGGGAGAAAGATGGGGGCAGAGAAGGGCTTGCCTTGGATTCTGAAGCAGTAAATCCTGCCTAATCCATCCGCAATGCTCCTTGACCAGCGCCATCCCTTCATGTGGAAGAACTCCTCTATTTGGGAGTTTGGGGCTCAAAATATTCTAAAAAGACTGGAGGAGTTGTGCCTGTCAATGAGTGGGTTTTATTTCCCCCTCCTTCCTTCCAAGCCTCAGTGATTCCTCCTCAAATTTATCCAAGAGAGCCCTGCAGGCTCCTCCAGGGTGGAGCTGCGACCCAGCACCGTGCGAGCCGTGGGAGCAGCACGCGCTTCCCGCTGCAGTTCCCGGTGCGTTGGATCACCGGCACATTCCCCCTGGTGTCGCGGAGGGCGGCAGGAGGCTCCAGCAGCCGGAGAAACGCCTGGCCTTTCTCCCTGCCTCGCCTTTGCCGCAGCTGCAGCAGCACCGCCTGGCCCGCTGCGGACTGAACTGCGGAGTAAAGCGGCTCATACCTAAGGAATGATGGACATCGTTATTTTTTACTTTGCCATTTTTTGTATGCCTTCGGGCGGAGTCACGTTACGTGGCACGGGCGGCCTCAGGCGGGCGCTGGGCACGGGCCGCGCCTGCCCCCTGGCGGCGCCTGCGCGTCCCGCCGGGCCCGTGCCCCGCACAGCTGCGCGAGCGGGACGCGCCGCGCGCTCTTCCTGCTGCCCGCGCTGCTCTTCCCGCACATTGACCCGCGTCCTCCGCCCTCAGGGAGACTTCCCCGCCCGCCCTGACCAGCCTGCTCGGTGCTGGTGACACGCGCTGACAGCTGCCATGGACGTGCTCGCAGCTGAGCCGTCACCCTGACACAGCTGCGGGCAGAGCAGCAGCCCGCACCAGACCATGTCCCTGCGCGCTTGGACGCACATCTGCAGCCGGTGAGGTTTCCTGAGAGTTTTGCCCTCCTCTATAAACTTCCAGCCCTCTGCAGTTGCCTCTGCCCTCTTCAACCTCTCCTTTTGCTATTTCCCCTCCCTTCTGGAACGTTCATTCTCCGCGGCCCCAGGTGGTTGTTAGCACAGGCCCTGCTCCCTCCTGCCGCTCACAGGGCACTGGGTGTCGCCAGGCGGTGGATTAAAGCTTTCATTAATTTCTGTGTATCTTCTTGTCCTTTCCTTAAGTAGTATCTCAGCCCCTGCATATTCCACTCTGAAAATCCATGAAAACAGGGGGATTCGAGACTCATGATAAATGCGACGGCTGGTTATAATCCCCAGTTAAACAGCCTTCAATACAGTTGCAGTTGTAGTGCGATATCAAGCCCAATAACGAAGGATTTGCTGTGTTAGCCCTTTCGCTATTCCAGGGCTTTCCTCCCGGAGATGCAGCATTTCGGGCTCTTCCAGAGCTCCATTTCCCGTCGCTGCCTGCGGTCGGGGCGGCCCTGCTGGGGGGGGGACCATCGGCGGCTCGGCCATCGGCTTCGCGCCCTCCGCTCGCGGGCTCGGTGGGATCGGCGCTCGCTCGGCCGCCGCCAGGGCTGAGCGAGGGGAGAGGCAAGATGGCGGACAAGGCGCCCGGCGGCTCGCAGAAACCCGCCGGGAAGGTGAGGCCGCTCCGCCCCGGGCCGCGGCCCGCGCCCGCTCCCTTCGGCTCGGGAGGCACGGCCCGTGGCCCGCTCCGTTGCGCTCGGGGAATACGGCCCGCTGCCGCGGCGGCGGGGCCCGGTAGCGGCAGGGTGGGGCCCTGCTGGCGGCGCGGCCTGCTCTCTCCTGCTCTGAGCCCGGGGTGACCGCGGGCCCCGGGATGGGTGGGAGGCGGGAAGGGGGCTGGGGGTCCCGGGCCTCTGGCGGGGCACGCCCGCTCCTCGAGACCGCCCCGGGCACGTGTCTGTCCCCGTGGCGTCCCCGTGCCCCGGCCGAGGAGGACGCGGGGCTCGGCGGCGGCGCTGGGCCGGCCCGCGCTCCCCGGCTGGGCTGCGGGCTGTGCCCGAGTGCCCGAGCCCAGCCGTGCCACCGACGGCTTTCATGTCGTTGCCCGAGCCCCCACGTGGGCTGAAGCCCGCGCAGGGTTAGTTTCCAACTCGGGAGCGTGAAGGGAAACGACGAATTGAGGCGGAACGTGTTTTTTGAAGTGCGATGAAATGACAAGTTTCGTAGAATTGCTGTGGCGTTCCCCGCGCTTTTCACCGAACCCTCTCTACTTCCTGTAGTTCCTGCTGGGTGCATTTCCAGCCCGGGAGCACAGGTAGCGCAGCAGTGCTGGAAAACTTGGCCCAGAGCTGTGCTCTGAAACCAGCGGTCACAGCGCAGAGCTGCCTGCGCTCGCAGCATCGCTCCTGCTGGGAGGGTAGAGGGCGAGATATTTTGGGGATTGCACTGGCTGATGGTTTGAGGATTACTCCCTTTCATTCACTTTCGTTTCAGGTTTTAGGTCAGAAGTGTGTAAATCCCACGTTTTGGTGTGTGAGTGTGTAAATCATTCAAAGAGGAAGCCGTGTTACGGCTCAGGAATTTCTAGTGCTATACATGAATAATTTTTGCCCATCTTTTTATTAAGCAAAACCAGGATTATTATTTTTTTTTTTGCTAAAAATTTTAGTAATTAATGCAGTTGGTAATGAAGTGTAGTTACTTAAAGTCTTTTCCGTGTTTACTCAGTTGTTATTAGAGTAGTAGAGTTTTATTTTTTTTCCCTTTTATGATCTGTTCCAAATATTGCCAAGAAACCTTTTTTTTTTTTTTTAAATCTTGCTTTTGACTTGGAATGGCAAATAAGAGCTGGACAGAAAACTTCAGTAGTAAAATGGGTCTTAATTTATGGACAGTAGGGTCTTAATTTTTGGACATTTTGGGATTTCAAGTATAATTAGAAATAGAGTCCTTAATTATTGATTAATGCAGCTGATACCATGGTACAGGAAACCAACCCAGATGTGATTCCTTTCTTTTCGCAGTTACCTTGTAGGCTATTTTTGTTTTGTCATTTGCTATTTCTGTACTGATGGAACTCTTCTTGCTCAATATACAGTAATAATTAATTTATAGGAGTTGTTTTCTGTCCTAGATGTCAGTTCTGCAGAGCTGTGTTCTGGAGCTAACTCTTCCATCCCGTGGAAGTCAGTAGACAGCTAGGGAATATAAGGTCAGACTGTGTCCGTCTGTCAGGGCCTGCTGGGGACATCCAGCACCTGCACTGCCACCTCTGCACTTCCCCCTCACCCCTCAGTTCCCCATTCCTGCACACATCCAGGCCATGTTTCACTTTATATTTTAGATCTGGCTTGATCCTTGTCAGTAGTATTTTATGTGCCACAGGAAATAGGGATAGTACCTGCTTGGATGCATGAGAATGTTTTTGTTGAAAAGTGAAGTAAAATAAGACATGGGATTTATTTCTCAAAAAGGAAATCTTGGGGGGTGAGGAGTGTGTGTTCCCTTTGGTACCCTTGTTTTGTTATTCCATAAGTGCTTGTGATATACACTGAGATACTTTTCAGATGTCTGTAGAAAGAGATGGTATTGAAATTAGTAATACTGTTTTACTTTAATCAGTTTGTTCACACAGGGATTAAAATGTATATTTTTAGTTGAGCCTATATGAAAATGTTTATGGTTTAGCAATTGAGCAAATAACCATTTTGCTAGATTTTATGAAGTAATTATCAGACATAGTGATTATTTTAAATAATTTTAGGATTCATTTACTTACGTAATTAAAAGTGAAGTTGTATGCTTCTTTTGCAAGTTACATTTGTTTTGCAAATACAATAATTTATGTATCTCAAAGACTCATAAGATACATTTCAGTGGCAGTTCCAATTCAGTGCCTTTGCTGACTTCTAGATACCTGCTGGAAAGACACAGTGACCTTTTATTTTCTGTGCTCTGTGAGGAGCTGTGACCTAGTGCCTGAAATAAAATCATTTCTCCCCTTCAGAATGGTTGGTGTTTTTTCTTCAGTCTTGTTGTCCAAGTACTGAATTTGACCCAGTTATTTTGAATGTATATATTTGTATATATTTATAGTGTAAAATCACATTTTTCCATCCAGGCATTGTTTGATTCACTGACTGGGAAGCGTTGCTGGAGGTGGTACAGGAGCCCCCAGTGCCTGCATGGCTGTGGTGGCAGCTGCTCTGTGTGATGCTGGCAGCTGCTAAATAACTTTGAGAGTCTCCCCTGTGAAATGTGTTGCAAAAGCATTAACTATTCCTTTGGCACTCTGAGATTAGAATAGCAAGATTCGTGCTTGGGATTTCCAGAAATCCAAGTAGGAAAGAAGGATAATTAAGGAACAGAAAATAGACGTTGGCAGAGCCTGCACAGGACATCGGTGTAGGACAAGAATCTGAAATGACAGATACAGATGTTCAGATATTTATGTAATGGAACTTTAGCTGCTCAGCAACTTTCTGATTTTGTTATTGTATCTTCTGAAAATAGTGACTGTCTGGCATGGTCGCTGCTCTCACGTAGGCTGCTGTTCAAATTGGGTGCCATATGCAGGAGAAGTGTTCCACTTGGACCAAGCTGTACTTTTCCCTTTTTCATCCCAAAAGCTGTACCTGGTATCTGAGTTTAAGGTTCTAGTGGAATGCCATTCTGTATTATGTACAAATAATACTTCTGGAGTATTATGTACAAATAATACAAATACTTCTGGAGAAAGCCACTGTCCATTTGCGCTTGTGTCTGCAAGTTATGATACTCAGATAGGGCCTAATTCTGGTCTGCATTATTCCAGTAACTGTAAAGACCAAATAAATAAGCTGTAAAATAATTTGCAGGTGTTTTCAAGCACTTACTTTCTAGAGAGAAACGAAGAATAAAAAACATAAGGCAACCTGGAAACCTTCTTTAGCTGAATTTTGACATCTTAATTTATGATGATGTTCCCATTTATTTTTCCTTGCTGTTGGTGCTGACACAAGGAGTCCCAGCCTTAGCTACTTCTTCCCTACCAAACACTGTCCTCTTTGGTTGATTTGGCATGATTTGGGCAGCAGGCTGCTGCTATGAGCTGGGAGATGGTTTGGCTGAACCTCCCCATCTCTCCCTTTGGTGAGTGATCAGCTAGACCAGGAACAGTGCTGTGGTTCAGTGTGACCAGTATGGGGGCAGGATCAATGGAAGGTGTTGAAACAGGGCAGGAGTGGCTTTCATCAGAGTTTCTTTTAAACATTTCACCCTGAAGCTATTGGTTCTTTCAAGGACAGGGCTTTCATTTATGTTTTAAGTTGTAGCAATTACAGTTGTAAAAATACTATTCAGCATTTAGAGGACCACAGATTGTCTCCTGAGTTGTTGGCAACTTTTGTTGCTCTTTGTTTCACTAAATGGCATTAGTATTAATTTAAAAAAAATACTGTATACAGTGTATTTTAAATACTTGTGAAATAACACAGTCTTGCCAGTTTTACCGAGAGGTTTTTAAGTCTGGGGAAATGGTGAAGAGCTGGATTTGTGACCATGTGAACTATGGGCAGGAAGGAAGATTTCAAAGAGCTGTTCTTTTCTCTGTTTTCCTTGGAAGCTTCCGTGAAGCTGGAAGAAAATGTAAAGATCAGGATCTCAGAGATGACTCTGCTTTGGCATTTTCATGGAAGTTTGTAAGAAATCTCATTTGTACAGTCCTTTGAAGCTTTTGGGTTTTCTCTTGGAGGTTAAGTGAAGTTGGCTGGACTCAGCAGTGAAGCTTTGGGTGCCCTGACCTCCAGGACTGGGCTTTGACAGGAGCATTGCAGGAGCAATGCAGGCTGCATTGCAGGAGCAATGCAGGCTGCTGAATGACACTTCAGCTGTGCTGGCACATGCTTTGAGAAATGTGCAGCATGAAAGTGATGGGAAAAGTGATCCAGCTGTAAAATAGTCTGGTTGAGAAAAAAAAGTAAATAAAGACAGTTTTCATGCAGAGATGCAATGAACTGGGGGTAGGAAGGCATTTGTCAGTTGTCTATGGTGGCAGTGACTGAAAGTTGGATTCACTGCATTTTTTTCTGTTGGCATTTTGAACATGAGGGAGCTGTCCTCGCATCTCTTCATGTGTAGGGCAGAGCTTCCTGTGTCTTTCTTTCAGCAGTTAAGTTCAGTTGAGCTACTTGATATGATGAGAACAGGAAAAATAATCCTGCTCTAGATTTCAACACAGGTGGGCAACATCTTCTAAAATGTTTCCCTCTGTTAGAAAGACACCGATCCGCTGAGTCAGTGCAGCTGGGCTGACTCTTAAGGAAACAAAATGGCCCCTTTTGTCAGGGCAGTGCAGATGGATACAAAGTGCAGTGCTGTGAGGGTTTGTGATTTTTTTAAATAACTGCTGTTTAGAAACTGGCAGGTAGTAATGTGTAATTTTGTCAAGAACCTTTTCATGTTGTGCTTTGTCAGAACAGTTGTTTGGTTGGTGAGGAGCAGTATCAAAGGTAGAACTAAATTTATACATAGGAAAGAGAAGATCTTAAGAATTGGTGAAGGAGGAAGATAACGTGGCTCTCCAAAGCTGCTAGTTATTTTTGGTTACAGCTGGTCTGAAAGCTAAAATTGCTTTTAGAAGTTTTCTGAATGCACCTTCATAGAAATTTTGCTGCTCAGCTAATGTTCAGAGTGGCTCCACAGTGCCATGGTCTCTGTTGGTGGGTTGGGGAGTGCCAGTGGACTCCCCCAGAATCTCTGTGTGCTACCACGCACTGCAGCCTTTCTGAGCAGTATCATCTGCTTGCTGCTGGAGAAACAGATTTAGTGTCTTGCTTTTTTTATGTTCTTCCTCAGGATAATCTGTCACTGTACTGAGCATTCCCACTGTTACTCTGTGTAATGCTTTGTTTCTGTCCTCCTTATAAGCAGCTTCAGCACCACCCCTGTTGGGAGGTGTTGCTATCTAAAACTTCCAAAAATGAAACAGATGTGGAGAATCAGGACGTGGCCATTCCCTTCTGCTGTTGCCAGCCCAGCTCCTTTCCTGGAGCAGTGCTCCATCTGTGTCAGCGCACCAAGGCAGACAGCGCTGTATCACTCCACCTTTGAGACTGATTTTTTTGACTCGGATTGTTTGTTGGAGGGCTGGAATTGCAGCTGCTGTGTTGGTTGCCGCGTGGTGGCAGCTGCCAGCAGGAAGAATGCTGTTCCCATGCTCTGGAATTCTTTTGCACAGTGTATGTCTTTTATCTGTGTGATGTTAGGCTACGCATTCCTAAAGTTTTGAGGGGAATACAACTTTCCTTAGGCTACATTTGTGCAGTATGGAGACCTGTGCATAACAGATTATGATCTGAGTGCCACAGGCAGTTTGAGATCACAAAAAAATCCGAGTACACAGGAGGAGAAGTTTGCAGGAAGTGGCATTAGTAAAAAATGCTTGAGATATTTGCTTCCATGTGTATTCTAGTGAACTGCTACTGCTGCATGTGAACTCAGCTTCTTATTAGCTTCTGTGCAAAGATGTGCTTGTGAGTCATGTACAGTGCTGCAACGAAGGGGATTTGGGAGGTCCTTGAGAGTAAGACATGATTTTTTCCCCCCATTTTTTTCTTGCCCCATTTATCTTTATTAAAAAAACCTCCACACACATTCCTAGAAGCCTTTTGCTTCTCCCTTGGAAGAGCTATATTTGTGTTGCACTCTACATTTGTGCACTTAATTCTTGTTTCTGTTGAAGACCATTTTTTCTAAATTGATTTACTGTATAACATAGGAATACACTTGTTGAGAGAAAATGTCTCTGTCTTAGCTGATGAAAAAGCAGGATGCACAACAAAAACAAGGCCTAGTAAATGATATTCTAGAGTAGTATTTGGTGCTGGTTGGTTTTGAAAGACTGGAAATGAGCATCATATATTACTATTTCTGGTGTAAACTCCTGGTAATAAGGAGAAATGCTAATGTTCTGTAGCTAATGAACAGATTTCAGCTAATGGAAATGTGTTACCTTGACTTAAAATTAAAGTATGAATTGTGCATCAGGCAATAATATCTTAAAAGTAGATGTTATGTCAGGTTTTCTGGAATTCGGGCATTTAAAAGTGTGTTCTCCATCACTTAGGCTCATTTAAAACCTGATTTTGTATATATTCTGGTTTAGGTGTTAAAGTCGAGGTGTTAAACCCTAGTTAGAGTTTAAAGTAATAACACAAATTAGTACCTGGTCACAAATTGTGGTTTTTGGGGTGGCCAGGTTCCATCTATGCACAATACAGTAAAAGCAGTTTTGGAAATTACTTTATAGGAAGCCATATGTAATCTTTAACAGCCTTTGATGACAACTCTTGAACATGCAGTGTAACTAACCTACTTTTTTTCCCAGTGGTGCCATTACTGATGTATTTTTAAAATCCAGATGTGGAAATTCAGATTTTCTTAATGGTCTATCTTTAGGTCTCTCCCTTATTTGCCTTATATTGACGTTGTGCCTAGGTCAGATAGGTGACCTAGGTCAGATATATCATTAAAATACATTATAGGTATCTTTGTTCTTGTGTCTTTGGATATTGAAATTGAAATGAAAATTCACATTCCAAGAACTGGGAAAAAGCCCCCAGAGGCTGTTTGTCTGTTTCTTGTGTGCCTCACCTCCTCCTCATTCTCTCCTCAGGTCAGAGGGCCAGATGCAGTACATACCTCTGGATCTGCTGATTCACATGTAAGTCCAAAACACTTTAAAAACCAAAAAAATTCCAACCAAACCCACAAACTCAAAATAGGCCTGTTTTTAAAGAAAACTGCTTGCTACAGGCAGAGTTTGGTGCACTGGGTGTGTAACCTGTAGGTGTTTGCAAATGAACCGTTGATTTCATGTTTAAAAATACTCCTTGAAACTTTGAAAACAAGCAGCAACGTAGGAAGCTGTGCTGCATGGTACTGCATCCATTATCAGTACTGGAACAGAAAGAAGCTGCAGGGACTCTCTGTGGGCTTGTCTCTTGTACTGAGGAGTGCTTGAGTATGCAAGGTGATCAATCCTAGGAATCATGGGATATTCAAGTGCCTTTTCACATACAGTTGGCTTCTCAAGGCTGAGACTGTGGCCCTAATTCCATCCTTTATTTTTCTTTCTAATAGAATATTATGATAAAGGAAAAGGTAAGAGGAATAACTGGGTCCTGCTGTTCCCCTGCCCCTTATCCCCTCAGTGACAAGACCTTTGCCTGGTTGTGTGCTTGGTGTGTTGCATGAAGACTTACCTGTTTCTGAGCTAAAATGAAAACAGGCAGCAAGAGCCAAACTGGGAGTTAATACCGGACAATTCATTCTGTGGTTTGGATTTCCTTCAAGATTTCAACTTGATTTTGTACATGCAGAAGTCAATTACCAGCTGTTAAATTGCTTGTAAGAGCATTAGTTGAGTTGTGGTAGTAGAAACTTTTCATACAGAAGTAGCTTGTTTTATTGATTTCTTTTACTTAATACAATTTGGACAATTACTCTTAAATGTCTTCTGAGTATTTTGTACTGATGGAACTGGAACTTTAGTGCTTTGTGCCACCTTACAGTCATTGCAGTGTTCTAGTTAAACAGAAGCTTTCATACAGAGATTTGATCACTCAGCTGCAAGTTTTTCTTTGCTTCTATCATTTGCTTTACCCTTTTTACAGTATTTAGCATTTTTTGAAGGAGGAAGACCTTCAAGTTTTATATAGTTCTGTTGTTAGGAATTCTGTGAAACTGTGTATAGTTAATGATAATGTTGTAATTGCTCACTGGAATCTAACTAGTAGGCATAAATTAATTCAGTCTTTACTTTATATTGTTCCTGCCTGTTGGCAGGTGGGTTTTTTCCCTGAGATCCTTTCTAAACTGAGCAGCTCTTAGTGCCAGAACTCTTTATCTTGCAGCTGCTTCCTTTATGTCACTGAAACAAATATTCATGTGGCTGATCTGCAGGTATCCTGTGACATTACTGTGAGACATTATTTTCTGCTGACAGGGTGAGCCTTGGGTAGGAGTGTGGTATTTGTTCTGCCTGCATTGCTGTGCCATTGCTGTGTGCCCATGTTTTGCCAAGGTTGTATATTGCCATACTGAAATAGAAGCTCTTTTTCATACAACTGGGAGATGGGATTTTATTAAATTTAAAAACACACCGATGAATTAAAAGCTCCTGATAAGCCTGTCACAGCAGCTCACATTGACAAACATGGTGTCATAAACCAGCTGACTTCACAGACAACACTGCATAAATTTGTCACTGATAGCTTTACTTTCAGTGATGAAGAGGGAACACTTTCAAGGAAGTATGAACTACTTGGTCCTGTGCTTGGCACAGATCTAAGAGTGGTGCTAAGCAAGGATTATAAATTGAAGATATTTCAAACAGTTTGTTTTTCATGGTGCTTTTTATGAAAATTTTTTTTACTAGAAAGCTGATACTAGAAATAAAACTCGTTACAAAGAAAATTATTCCTAGAGGAAACCCTTGCCAGCTGGTATCAGAATATTTCTCATAATATGACATTTAAGTTGTTCACCTTATTTGTCTTGATGTTTTATTGAGCTGATTTTTTTTTTTTAAGAACTGTCATTGCAAAAATCATAGTTTTAAGCATCATGAATATTTTGAAAACAAGACTGATAGCTTCTGGGGCTTTGTTGTTGTGCTAGTTCTTCATGAATTACTGTGTGAAGGCAGGAGTTTCCAGAGAAGTATTTTTTCTCTCAGTTAACTTCCCACTGCCCGTGTCTTTGGAACATGCTCTCCATCCTGTTGTCTTTCTTCTCTTGATGCTTTGCTGCCTGTTAACTACCACAATAGAGCCTGAAGAATTCCATTTCCATACTCAAGAAATTACTGTTGTGTGGAGTATTTCCTTCATCAGGGTTTTGGAAAGAAATTAGAAACAGTCTAGGAGCTGAATGTGAAGTTTTTATGTGAGGTTTTTTTATAGGTGAAGACCTCTGGAATGCGTTGTTCCAGCAAAGCTATTAATTTTTACCTTGAAGTACAGTGGAAATTTAGCATCCATATGGTTGTTCCATTACCTGTCCAACCTTGCACAAACATTATTCTTGCCAAAATAGAAAAGCTTTTCTGAGGGAAGGGTGAAGAACTGTAATGCAAAAGCATGTATTTTTGAAGGTTTAGAAATTGCAGCACTGCATAGTGATAAATGTCCAGGCTCTAACAGCAAGTGTCCTTCAGATTTCAGCTCTGTTTGAATGATGTATTAAAAGCTTTCTCATTAAACCAAGGATGATTTGTTTAAAAAAAGCCACACATTTAAGTTTTTTTTTGGTTGTATTAGATAATGAAAATTTCACAGATAAGTACAGGACATCTTTTCTTTGTTTTATTTGAGTTACTCGTCTAGGCCTAGGTCAAAAGCAGTATTATTGTAATTGGTTTGTAAACAATTTGATATCTGTTTTCTTACTCGTTTTGCAGCCTCTAATGGAAAGTAAACTTAAAGCATTCAGTATTGGCAAAATGAGCGCTGCCAAACGGACACTGAGTAAGAAGGAGCAAGAAGAATTGAAAAAGAAGGTAATGGTATATAATGAAAATTTTACTTTGTATGCAGAGCTCAAATAATTTTGCTTTTAGATTGCAACTAGATATCTTAATTTTGGTAATTGTAGCTCTCTAAGAGTGAAAGTGAATTGTATTTTACATGTATTTTTGGCATCCATGGCATTATGATACAGAGAGGCTTATTCTGTCCTTGTCTGTGAGAAATCAAGGTCTCTGGCTTCCTGAAATAGGGAGTTAGAATAATTCATTGGTGTATTGCTCAGAATGGAGTCAGCCATCACCTTAGGTAATTTTCTGTTCTTCCTTTGCTCTCTATCATTGGATTTCAGTTACTGCAAAGAGTACCTGCCATTTTTGAACTTGTTTCAGCACACATCCTTGTTAGTTCTGTAAAACATTTTTTTTGTCTAATAACTGTGTTGGGAACCAATACAAACCTTAAATTTTAGTACTGCATTTTAGATTGCTGAGGAATGACCAGTTTTTAGGAAATATATATCTGGTAGTTGGTAAGGTGGAAGTTTTGAAAATTTAGGGGTTTGAGATTTGTACACACAACCCGTACTGTGTTGCAGTGGCTTACCTCCTGCTGGGTTGTTGGAAATACTGGCCTAAAAATCATGACAATGCTAAGCCATAGTGCTCAGCTTAACCCAGTTATTCAGCTTGTTCTCTGGGAAATACAGAAAGGTGATCCTCTTGTTGATCTCCTTCAGCCACATGGGTTGATCGTAAAGGCTGAGGTGGAATGGGCACTGTTCTCTCATGCTGAGGCCAATAAAGCTCATGGCTCATAAGCCTTTGATTTGAGCTTTTCTGTTTGGCATCCTTTGAATGTTAAATTGCCATGTAAACTCCTGAAAAGGAACATACTGGAGCACACAGCCTCACTGGCTTTGTGTGTTATGTGCTGTGTTCTACCCACATTTCTCAGAAATTTGAATTATCTAAAATTGAAACTCCTTTGATGCTGTTTGTAGCTTGAACTCTAGAAAATAAAAATGAATGTCACATAGTTAATTTAAGAGTAACTGTCTAGTGAAAGTTGTTCTGTGATGATAGTAAATAGATGAACATTTGCTCTGTAGGAGGATGAGAAGGCTGCTGCAGAAATTTATGAAGAATTCCTTGCTGCCTTTGAAGGAGGTGATGGTAATAAAGTGAAAACATTTGTAAGAGGAGGAATCGTTAATGCGTCCAAAGGTATAACTAATCTTTTTTTGGAGGTGAGGGGTCATTTGGCTTTTAGTAAAGATGAAGATTGGCTTTGAATTGCATTTTAAAATTAGTATGTTACATTAGGAGCAGAAAAGAAAAATTGGTGCTAAAATCTACTTTGTGCTTTGATTGAGGTGGGCAGTGGTGTGATTTGTGCTTTAACCATAAGAAGAAAAAATGCCTTGATTTAGATTACCTAATCCATGTTCTTCATATTAAAAGATGTTAAATTATGTAAAATTCGTAATGTCAGCTTTTTAAAAATGAAGTAATGTATTGAATTGAATGACCAGAACTAAAGAACAACTTTCTTTCTAATGAACAGTGTTGTGCAAGATGAATTAATAAAATTTGCTTTCAACTTGTCTTTAATTTCAGAGGAGCATGAAACAGATGAAAAACGTGGTAAAATCTATAAACCGTCGTCACGATTCTCAGATCAAAAAAATCAACCAAGTCAGCCATCTAATGAGAAACCTCCGTCCCTCCTCATGATAGAAACCAAAAAGCCTGTAAGTTTCTTGCTTGAATCTTAACTCCATCCTGATGTATTTAGAAGTGCTTAGAAGAAGGGCCATGAGTTCTTGCAGAGTAGTTTTATCTGCACGTGTCGCATCTGAGAGAAGGTGGACATTGGGAGTTGGCTGAAGCAGCAGCAGATACGAAGGTGATGAAATGCAGAGGCCCAGGAGCCCTGTGTGTGGCACAGTACACCTGGTGCTGCACTGCCCTTCTAGTGTGTTCCTGCTAAGGTGGGCAGACTTCTCATGGATATGGATTTAGTGACTGTTGCAAAGTAATAGCTTCTTCAGTCCTGAGAATTTGTGGTTTTAGAAGCAATTCTCAATTTCTATTGCTATTGTCTTGATTCTGTTTTGATTCATTTTTAACTTTAAACAAAAAAATAAATTGACCTTTGTGTTGATCCAAGTTTTTCTTAGTAGGGTTTTTTGAGTTTGTTTGTTTGTTTTGGTTTGGTTTTTTTGGGGGGGGATGAAGTTTGAGAAGTTCCTTTAGAAATCCCTCTTTGAGTTCCAGAACTTGCACAGTTCAGAAGCTGAACACCTTGTTTTATTTATTTTGTCTTCTGCATGATTTAATTGAGGGGTTTTTTTGTTTTGTTTTTTTGTTTGTTTTTTTTTTTTTAACCAAGGTTTGTCATAAAAAGTAATAAACATGAACCAGCAGTCTTCAAGTCAAGTGATAATTGCATATGATTACTGTTACTACTCTGTATGTGTAATGAATGTCTTGGATGTCTTAAAAGTCTTTTAATAGAGCTTACTACAATTTTAAAGCCTAAGTGAAGCATGTAAGATGCTGCCTGTTAGGGTGGGAAATGAATGTAATGTGATAATTGTGGGCAGTTCCATCATAACCTCCTTCCAGCTTTAAACAAATGCCAGTGTTAGACCTGTGGGGTACTACTGGATGGCAGTTTTGATTTTCATTGTATGTAAAGCTCTACATATACAGAAATGAATTGTAGCATTTTTTTATTTTTCTGAGCTCTGTTCTGTCATATGCAAGTGTTTGTACTGTAAGACTATTGCTGCTTTTCAAATTTTTCATAAATACTTGTGAAGTAATGCAATCAGTTTACTCACTTGCCATGTCCAATGGTGATTGAAGATAATGAGGTAAAAATGATTTTATTTATTTGGCAGACCCTCCCCAAAAACAAAAACAAACAAACAACTTTGCCTGGGGTGAGTAGGAAGTCCAGTTTTTCCAAAGCTGTAGTGTGTAACCACAAGTATTTTGTATGTCTGCCTATTGGAAACGTTTTCATTTAAATTTGATTATATAAAAACAATGTTGTTGAAGATAATATTTCACATGAGTTAGTTAAGGAACATATATTACTGTTAAACAAAAAAAGTAGTATTGCAGTATCCATATTCTTCGTTGTTCAAGAGTTTTTCCTAAGGATCTTGAACTATTTAAAGTAACTGTTTTTTCAGACTGTATTTACATCCAAAGGGAAGCAAGAGAAGGAAATTCTTTTCAAGTACAATGTTTGTGGATAAAATAATTGAAAATATATATGTAAAATAATTTACATATATATGGACACACATCTGTCAAATTCATTAGAGCATGATGGTTTGCTAGGGGTGTAGTTAGCATCCTAGTTTCCAAATGGAACAAAGTGACAAAATACCTCACAGTTATTTTAAATGTGTATGTAGTAGAGAGAGTGTTTGATCACATGTGCTCCATTGTGAGAATGAGAAGTAACAATTTTTTTTTTAACTATTCTGAATTTTTTATTTTCTAGCTTTGTGTTTGATAGCGCTCAGTCTGAATGTGTCAAGTCCATTTGGTTGTTGTTTTGGTTTTTTTTCATTGTTTTTTCCTCCTGTAGTTACTTGGTTTGAAAACTGTGGGTAAAATATGCATGGAAATTATATAAAATTTTGTTACGTGATTTGTAATTCTGTTCATTTTGTCTTCTAAAATGTTGTTTTGTATATCTTTAATTTTAGCCTTTGAAGAAAGGAGAGAAGGAAAAGAAAAAGAGTAATTTGGAACTTTTTAAAGAAGAATTAAAGCAGTAAGTTTGCTAGTTTTTACTGTAAACAAATAAAATCCAAGGTTTTTGCCTTGTTTTACAGACAGTATTTAAGATCATTCTCACTAAGTTGTTTCCCAAGGAAGGTTTTTATTTATTTTCTCCCTCAAATGCTTGTGAAATGGTATAACTAATTTGTTTAAAATAACTTAGTTAGGCTTAATCACTGCCGTTGCTGATGGGCTTGGCCATTGTTGGGTCTGTCTTGGAGCTGGCTAGTGTTGGCTTCATCAGCTGTGGGGGAAGCTTCTGGCAGCTTCTCACAGAGGCCACCCTGTAGCCCCCCACTACTAAAACCTGCCCAGGTACACAAACCCAGTACAGGGGTGTGGCACAGAGATTGGTGACAGTATGAAATGTCTGTCACTCTTGAAAAGAGTGTGTGCTTTGTCAGTGTTTCTAAACTATATAGAGGAATTTGTAGGAAGAGGTTGAGCTTTAATGCAAAATAATGCAGAAACAGGAGTTGTAATTCAAGTCTAGAGACTTCAACTTGCATGGTATTGAAAGCAAGCTGGATAATGCTTGAAAAAGCAGATTGTTTCACTTCCATATTCGTTGGAATACAGCAAAGAGCAGCCCATGTATTGAGTGCAGCTTCAGCTGCCATATATTTATCCTGATGCTAGTGATGGAAAACAAAGGAATCTCTATGCATTAGAAAGCAGTAGGTACAACATTCTAAACCTATATGTGGCTTCTGTGAGGAGTGCCTGAGCCTCACTGCTGTGTGTTCCTTAGTTGGTGTAAATGAGTTGAACGGACAGCCTTGTATTCCTGGGATTCAGTATCTTCATATCAGGATTTAAGGCCAGACTGCGGGAACCAAATAGTTACTTGTGAGTACTGTCCTCAGAGGTAAAAACTGAGATGAAATCCAGTTTATTCTGGAAATAGTAATGGGGGTGTACCTCTGAGTAAGGCTTAGAAAAGCTGGAAGGATAAACAGACACTAAGGAGTTGTGTGCATCTTGGAAAGTCACCTGAGTGGTCTGCGGATCTCTGGCAGTTAGACATGGAATTGGAGTCACTTTTTCAGAGCACAGTTCTTATTTCCAATTTTGTTTGAGAATGAAATACCAATACAATATGAATGAGGAAGCATGCAGCTGGAATAATTCTGGTGGATATACTCCAGTTGATACTCCAGAAACACAAGTTCAGACATACTGGCAACTTGGAAGTTCTAACAAACTCATTGTTTCATATTAAAAATTCTCATAATTGTTAAGTCAATTCAAAATGTTAGAATAAAAACTTCAGAATGGTTTTAAGTTGTTGCTCATTTTAACTTGCTTCTTAGAATCCAAGAGGAGCGTGATGAAAGGCACAAAACAAAAGGTAGATTGAGTCGTTTTGAACCACCCCAGTCTGATTCAGATGGGCAGCGGCGGTCAAGTAAGTAGTTGTTATTTTTTATGTTAGTCTGGGCTGCAAGATTTGTGGACTAAATTGTACATATTTTTCTTCTCTATATTCAGTGGATGCTCCTTCAAGAAGAAACAGATCATCTGGTGGTAATACTGATTCTTTTCTTATTCAATTTAATGTTGTCATTTAAATGCATAGCAGGGATTATGACTTCTTTTTGTTGTTTGGTTGTTTCCTTTATTTTAGTACTGGATGATTATGCACCAGGGTCACATGATGTTGGAGATCCAAGCACAACAAATTTGTATCTGGGAAACATCAATCCTCAGGTGAGTTTGGAGCCAAGGAGTGCAGTGTTGGCATGTTTGGGCCCAGACAAATTTTTTTGCAATATTCATTGTAATAAGTCCTTTGAACATAGCTGAAAAGTTAAGGTTTAGACTGCCAATCTCTAGCTCAGTTAAATTTCTTTTTCCATTGATACCACTAAGCAAGGTGGATCATATCTCAGTCATTTGAGTGTGTTCACTTAAAAGTGCAGTTTTTAGATTCTAGTTTCTGCAGTAGATTGCATTGGGGGGCTGTCAATGAAGTGGTGTTATGTCAGGAAACTAAAAAAATTAAAATGTTGACATTTGGACAATAATGCAAACAGCTGTCACAGAAATACAGTGGCAAAATGTTAATTTTTACCTCTTTTTCCTGTAGATGAATGAAGAGATGTTATGTCAAGAATTTGGCCGCTTTGGACCATTAGCGAGTGTTAAAATTATGTGGCCAAGAACTGATGAAGAAAGAGCAAGAGAAAGAAATTGTGGCTTTGTTGCCTTTATGAACAGGAGAGATGCTGAAAGAGCATTGAAGAATTTAAATGGTAAACAGATTTCTCAGTTCAGGGCTGTAATTATCTTTGCAGACTGTAAGCACATTTTCAGGTTGTTTTATCAGAGAAGTGAGATGTATTCTGTAACTCCGGTAGATACCAGGCTGGCAGTGAGTTTACATTTGACTGTTCTACTGGCAACTGAATGTTGTCAAACAGTAGCAATTGTGTACTGTAGTGTCCTGAAGACAGATATTTGGGGAAGATTAATTAAACATTTTGTGTAATAGGCCTTCATTTGCCTGTGTTGAAGTCTGATAGATGTAATAACAGTAATCAACAATGTAAGCAAAAGGTAAACGGTGGCAGGCAAACCTAAATGTTGCACTTAGCAAGGAGAAATCTCAAGTGATGCAGAACCAGTTCATAACATCATGGTAATGGAGGTTTTTTCCTTTCACTTTTTCAGGCAAGATGATTATGTCGTTTGAAATGAAGCTGGGCTGGGGCAAAGCTGTACCTATACCACCACATCCAATCTACATTCCACCCTCCATGATGGAGCACACCCTGCCGCCGCCCCCGTCAGGACTGCCTTTCAATGCCCAGCCTAGGGAGAGGTTGAAGAATCCTAATGCTCCAATGTTACCACCACCCAAAAACAAGGAAGATTTTGAGAAGGTAACTTACAGTACCCTGGGCCGTATCTCATTGTTAAATACTACATCTGTGACAGTATTTCAATGGCTTCGTAGATTTGCATTGTTCAGGCTGACTTGGCAGCCCTTAGTCTGCAAATTCTCCGGCTCCCTGCTGTAGCCCAAGGGAACCTACTTAATTCCTGAAGTTCTTTTTCATGTCTGTGTTAGGGTACAGTATATTGGCTCTTGGTTAATTTAGTGCTGCTTAAAATCTGGCTATCATTTTCCCCCTCCAGGCTCCCTGGATTTTTTTCTCCTACGTCCCCCCCTTTTCTTGGCTGCCAAATTGCAGTATCTAAATTGTTTTCCTTATAGAAAATTCTACATATTAATTTGGGTAGCATTATTTTTACCCTAGAAGAGTTGATGTATTTTGTGTAGAAGGTAATTAATCTGGACATTGAGTAAGTATTTTATGCTACTTATGGAGTCAGTTTTCAAACTTTTCTTTTTGTGGAATATTAGCTGATAAAAGGGTAAGTATCTTGAAATCACAAACCAACTTGATTTACATTTGTAAGAATTTATTGATTCTTTGAATGACACTTAAATGCCAGGGCTGTTTTTTTTGTAAGACTTGGGAATAAAGTAATACCAACGTGATCCAAGTCAAATGGTTTAGAATCTTTTCATAAATGTAAGAACTCCTTTCTTATATATTCAGCATAGTTCCTATTCAGTGCCTCAATGTACATTCTGACAGGAATGTTCTGATACTTTGCAATTAGTGAACCTTCATGGTTCACTGACACAACCATTTGAATTTTGTGTAATTGCTTAGTTATAACTTCACAGCAGTGATTGCCTGCAAAGTTTGTGATAGATGTGTAGTATTTTCATTGCATATGTATATTTTTGCTTGTTACTTGTTAACAATACTCACATATTCTATGTTTATTATCTGATGTGACTTCATATACAGACTCTGTCGCAAGCCATAGTCAAAGTGGTTATCCCAACAGAAAGGTACATGTTTTTCTTTATTATTACTGATCTAAATATAGAAAATTTCCCCTTCGGAATTTTAAAGAAAAATGGTGATGTTGTGGAAAAGGTAATGGCTTGACTGAGCAATGGTTATTTTATAACACTTAAAAGAAATGTGTGTGGTTTACTATTCTATTTACTAGTCTAACTATTCTTGTCTTATTAACTCTTTTTAAGTGAGGGTAGACTTAAGTAATTATCTTTTGCATTTAATTTGATCACTAGAGAGAGATGCAGGGTAATTCTGTGAGTGAACACTAGGGTGAAACACTGACTTACAGATGCAGCCTAAGTTCTGACATAAACCTCTGCATATGGGGATGCAGCTGTGGGCTTTTTTATTTTTCTTTTATTTTTTTTTCTTGTGGTTTTTTTTTTTTCTTTTTTTTCCTTCATTTTTTTCTTTTCCTTTTTTTGGTTTTTTTTTTTTGACTTGTACTTTTTATAACCAGTTCAGTTGAAACCAGTTCAGTTTTGATTTTTGCTAATTTTTAAAATGTAGCAGTTAATAATTTTTGTCACTGACAAAGATACTTTTGTATTATGCAAGGATATTTTTCCATTTTGGTCCCCATCACTGTTCCTACCTTGAAGCTAGTCTAGGTATACTCTTGCTCAGTTAAGCTAAAGCCTTTTCCCAAACATAGGAACACAACACTGTTTTAAAAGTAAAGAAGCACAAAAGATTACCAAATTCTCTTTGACATTGGCCTTGGTGAGCAACACCAGCTGAACTGTCTGCGGCAGCGGGGGACCAGGAAAACATCATGGGATGGATTGGGAAAGTATACAGTTTTTGACCAGACATTGGTACGATCGGCTCCAATAAATGTGGTTTTATTATAACTGAAAAACCTTTTTTTTGTTGGCCAACTTAAGCTAAATGACCTTTTAAAATAATGCACTATTGGTTTTTTACTACACTGTCTTAATTGTCACAAAGTCCCTTTTTTCTTTTTTTCGTGTGGGGGGAGGGGGCAGCAGGAGATTTGTGAAGCTGGTTATAGTGCATTAACAGATTTGTCAGTACATGCTCCAATGTACTGTATTTTTGATGGAATTTTAGGACGGTACAATTTTTGTTGGGTAGAAACTTGAATAATTGGGGCGACCAACCTGGAGGAGTCTTGATTTGAGAAACATATTGAGTAGTAGAACAAGTACTTGTAAAATTGTACAATGCTCACAGAGTAGGTGTCAGAGAAAAAAATTTATTTTTCCATGTCCATTTTATTTACTGTAGCATTTTAAAAGCCTGTATGATAAGAACTCACGTTAAATGAATTGTATTTGAAAACACTTCTAATAATTCCTTTCTTGATGATTTTGGAAGTTGCCAATGACAATTGCTAAGACCATTCCTTACTCAGTGCATCCCATCCTGCAAAAATTTTGACTGAATTTAGTGGGATAATACATTTAATTATTCTCCTTTAACTAAAAATTTTCAATACTATTTTTCTTAGTATATTTCTTAGTATATTTCTTTCTTCTTAGTAAACAGCAAACCTTGAGTATGTATAATCAATTAGTTTTTCTGAGAAATTCACTTCCAAGTAGTCACATCTTACATACCAAAATGCCTGTAACAACCTCTTTCAGATATGGGATGAGCTGAATCTATTTTCATACATCAGAGGTCTTATGAAGCAGATGTTCTTGTTCAAGCATAAGCTGCTCTTACACAACTTGATTCTACTTGATGAAAGAAAAATTAGATGAAAACCAGTGATGATTTGCAGGAAGCCAGAAGTGATCACACTGGATTTGCCTTAAAATAAATGAATGCTGTAATAGCTCAGAGGCTTGAAAGTTATTGTAGATCTCTTTCTTGCTGATGTTTTCAAATACAGTTCATATAACAAGAAGAGTCTGGCTGTTCAGACTTTCAGAACACTGCTGTAAATAAAATGGCTACAGAATTGTTGAAACTATGTCCTCTTTGCAGTGTTTCTGGGATTATAAAAAGCAGACAGGAAAATTGAACTGGTAGCAGTTTGATTTTATTTGTGTAATATTTGAGGCAAATGCAGATTCAGTGCTAGATGGCTTAAAAGAGCACTTGCAGATGGCTGGGGTAGGATTCTATTGCTATTCTATTATGACTATTTTTAAGTTGATTTTTTTTAAATCTAGTTCATTATATCTGTGGCCGAACTTTGAATACTCATAGTAGAAAATAGTCACCTCATTGCTAAGAAGTAATAGAAAATTCTGCAACTTCACAATGTAACATTTATGGAGTTTTAGTCACTAAAAAAGTGCTCTATGGAAATCTAATGCATTACATGTAAAAACCCAATATTCATTTGTTGCATCTAAGAAAATAAATATAAATATGCAAAAATCTGTATTTTTTTTTGGCTTGCATCACATTCAAAGGGCATGTGCTGTGAAGCTTTTTCTATATGTAGGTAATCTGATTAAAAACTCAGGACACTGTTTCCATAAAACCCCAAAGGGGTGGAAACTGGCTATCACTATTTTTGATAAAGCTTTTCTGTCTCCTGTTAGCATGCTTAGAAGTGACTCTGCATTGAAAAATGTGCACTTCACATCCACTTCTTGCCTGTCTCAGGATGTAGTGCTGAATGAAGGGATACAGATTTTTATTTTTTTTTAATTGTGATTTAGTTCTGTTGTGTGTCTGAGGGAGGGAACATGGGATGGTATTACACAAAAGAACGGACAGTTTTCTTCTATGCCAGTAGTCGAGTCTTGACCAAAAAGAGATGATCTAAATTTAGTAAATATATTGCCCTGTTTTGCATCAAGAAGGCTATTTGCTTTTCCTTTCTTACTTGAGTAGTTTGAAAGCTGAATTCAGATTCTGTTGAACATTCAGAGGCATGTTTTTATTTTGAACAAAATATTCAGCCACTTGTTCCCCTGTGGAACTTCAGCTAACACTTGAGTCTTACTTCTAGACAATGTAGATGAGGGCTTAGTTTTTGATAGCTAATTGTACTTTGGTGTTCAGGTGCCCATATTTGTATATCAGGTTGTGCTAAGCAAGACATGATTGTAGGCTAAGACATGGAAATTTAGGAAGGAGGTCTCTTAAATTCTTACTCCACCACTGCTAGGCATGGTTTGATTTTTAGAATGCCCGTGTCTGTGATGCAAAGCTATAATATGTTCCATGTTGCCTTACCTTTTATGCAGATTTCTTAACAATACAGCAAAATAATCTCCTGCACAGTTGTAGTATCTTAGGTGGAGTGTAGTTTTATATAGTGTTAGGTCTGAATCAATTTTTCTTTAACTGTGTTGTTGTTGTAGGAATTTGCTCGCTTTGATACATCGAATGATAGAGTTTGTGGTTCGGGAAGGGCCCATGTTCGAAGCCATGATCATGAACCGAGAAATCAACAACCCAATGTTCAGGTGCTTATTACATTGCTTCATTGCAAATAACACCAGCTGTTTTCACTGTTGTTAATGTTCTGCATTCTTAAAACACTAACGAGACTGACTTCTACTGTGACTATCTTCCTGTGCAGATTCAGACTTTACAAAGTGCACCTTTGGCTGTACTGTCCTTTTATAAGGAAGAACACATTTTTATTCCAGTTGTTACTAATGTGTACATATAAATAAGTAAAACAGTACACACACACACACACACACAATGTAATAAATTTCTATATATTTAAATAAATACCATTTAACACATACTCTTTTAAAGGATTCACAGTCAGTGGAAGCAGTAGCATACATTTCAAAAAAAGGAAAAATCCCCCTCTTCCCCCAAACAGACAAACACAATGTGAGGTCCACTCTTCCTGGTGCCTATTTTTTAACCTTTAGCAAGAGGTGGGAATAATTTTTCTTCTATGTCAGTTAAAATAGAATTAAACTTCAGCTGACATAGGGTAGTTTTGAGAATTTTGAGCACTTGTCCTTAATGGAATAAAAAAGAGCCAGTTTCTAAATTTCTTGTGAAATGCAGTCTCTCAAAACAGGTTTTGAGGGAAGTGCTAAATGACTTTTTAGTAGTGTTTTGTTTGCAGTAAGTTTGAAGTGCTTCATTATGATTTTCATATGCAAAGTGAGAAGATATGCAGGTGAAAATATCCTGGCCATTAAAAATGGCCTGCTTGTCTCCCCCATCCTCCATCAGATGTTGCCAGTGTTCTGCCAGACAATTTACTGGTGGAAAACTTCAGATCCTTTCGTATTTGATGACCTCACTATGCAACTGCAAGCTCCTGCATCACTTGTGCTGAGGTTGCAATTGTTCCTGTAGTGACTCTTTGCACTGATGATTCTTCTGCTTTGCTGTGAGGTTGCACAGTTGTTCTTTCTGACCCTGTTTGTTTTGCTCTTGAGTTCTGAGCACTGCTGTGCCTTTGGGGAGCTCTGCTCTCTGCAAATTGCATGTGTGTGTGTATGAGTGTGTGGAGCAGTTGCACATGTTCTGCCTGACTGTGCTGTGGGTGTACATGATTTTAGCTCCTTGTGTTCTCTCTGCAGCTGAGGTAGGATTCTGAACAGGGCTTGGTTGGGGGATTTTTATTACTTCCTTTAAATTTGTGTCAGTTCAAGATATGTAATATACTCTGTGTCTTTTCTTTGCTCTTTGGTTTAGGTTTTTATTTGAAAATCAGACTCCAGCCCATGTGTATTATAGATGGAAGCTTTATTCAATTCTTCAGGCAAGTAGAATTTTCATGATAGTTTATAGCTTCAAGCATAGTGAAGTAAAATAACAACAAAGTAAAAATACTTCTGGTTTTTTTCCATAGGGGGATGCTCCAACCAAGTGGAGGACAGAAGATTTCCGTATGTTCAAAAATGGATCCTTCTGGAGGCCACCACCATTGAATCCATACCTGCATGGGATGTCAGAAGAGCAAGAAACGGAAGCGTTTGTGGAGGAACCGAACAAGAAGGGTGCACTTAAGGAAGAGTATGTACCACCACTGATGGATGGTGCTGCCTTGGTAGCTGGTCTGCCTGGGTTTGCCCCTTGTGCTTTTGGAGCTCTAATGTGTCATCCCCTAAGTTTTCATACTTGTCATGGTATCATGTATGTGTCTGAGTGTCTCTTCACCTCAGTGCTTCTGATCATACTTGTAGCTAAATACATTCTTGACTTGATTAGATTTGTCATCACTGAACCTTTCATTCCAGTGTTATGAACCCTTAATTTGAAAGGGATTAGGAAGATGAGAGTTTCCCCCCATTTTTTGCTGCTGTCTGTAGCTGAGGATATGTAGCATATTTCTCAACGTTGTTATGACTCACAAACTAAACTGTTGCTGTAATCTTAAACTTACTGATGCTGCTCATCAGAAATTAAAATTGGGAGAAGTTGTTAATAAACAGGAAGAGAGAGATCATCAGAGTTCTTTGCTGTGAAGTGTCAGTGTACTGGGAGTGGCTGTTGTACTGGAAATAGAGACCTGCTTTTCTTAATTTTGCTGTTGTTGTTACAAATGTATTACTAACATGTGGAATTTTTTGTTTTGTTTTATTCTTCTCATCATAATTACCACAACAGTCATGCCTCTGTAGCTTTAAATACACAGTTTGTTTCTTACAACTTCTTTTGGAAAGGCTCAAAAAGAGATTCTTTTAAAAAAGTTCTCTGCATATGGAGGTCAGGAAAAATGCAAAGTAATTATTTACTAGCTTTGTGAATCTAGTGTTTCTTATTCTGTACCAGTAATGACTTGCATGCTTTAGATTTATCCATTTGGTTTAGGCCTAAACTAAATCCAGAAAGATAATTACTTTATTAGAGATACTAATATGCTTAATTAAGTATTTATCAGGTATTTTTCCTTGATTTCTGTATGTAATCAAGACTTGAGTGAGAATTTTTTGCACTTTATGAACCACTTGAAGAACTCAGGCAGAAGAATATAAAAATACTGAAAATTGCTTTTCTCTTAAAGATGGAAAACAAAAAAACCATAGTTAAATGGAAATTCGCAGAAGTACTTTCCATTTCATATTGAAAGTATTAAAATTCCTGGTATTTCAGACAGAGGGACAAACTAGAGGAAATTCTGCGTGGCTTAACTCCTCGGAAGAACGACATTGGTGATGCAATGGTTTTCTGTCTCAATAATGCGGAAGCTGCTGAAGAAATTGTGGACTGCATTACAGAGTCATTGTCCATCCTCAAGACTCCTCTTCCTAAGAAGGTGTGGAGATTTTCTGCAATCTTGTATTGTGGGGGAAGAGCTCCTTTAGCAGCATGTGCATGTAATTTACAAGCATTATTTCATAAGTTTTAGGTAGTACTGAAGTGTGGACTTGAATTTAAGTGTCATCTCTTCCTGTGGAATTTTGTTACATATTTTTTATTCTTTCTTTCTGAAGTTGCTTGTAAGTAATATTGTGCCTTACTGTGAAATTAAGAACAGTGAAATGATCTGTTCAAATGAGACAATTAAAACAGGAATGCCATGATTCTCCTTTGTAATGCTCTGGTGATATGTTACAGTAGTTAGTACCCTAGAGTGTAACAGGGGGCTAATTGCCTATTAAAATGTTTATTAATAATATAGCTGTGCTGCACTTAATTCTAATTAGGTACTTCCAGATAGTTTAAACTGTCTCATATTCTTTCTGTGAAAATGCCTTTATTTTCAGGAGAATTTAAATTGGACTTAATTTGACCGTTTTTTATTGTAGATCGCAAGATTGTATCTAGTGTCGGATGTGTTATACAACTCTTCAGCTAAAGTTGCCAATGCTTCCTACTATAGAAAATTGTAAGTATATTTTAGGGGACTGGCAGTTAAAAAAACCCCTCTTATATTCATCTCTGTATCTACATCTCTGGATAAACGTGGTTGTAGGAAATTCAGACTTTCCTGTGCTACTGTTATTACAGACTGATGGTATTTATATCTGTTTGCATGAACATGTGTAAGATGTAGCATGTTGGTAGTGCAGAAAATGCATGTGCCCTATGCAAGGGACCACTTGCTGCATGGAATTCCATAAAGGTGAGGATACCTCATCTGCCTCTTGACAGAAAGAGCCTGTAGATAATATTCAAGATATGGTATAGCAGATAGTTCAAGCAAAGAAGTACCTTTTAAAACAGATTTATTTTTATTAAAATGAGGGTGGTGTAACTTTCCATAAACCTTGGATAAGGTATAAGGGGATATTATGTATTTTATTTCTAAGGTGCTGAGAAGAATTGAGGAAAAATGTCCATGGGACAGTATCTTTGTCATATTTGTGTCTAGTTCCTGGAGTCTCTTTAATGTTAGGGCAGCATGGTGGGAAATACTCAGCATGTTCTAAAACTAGTGATTGCAATTGATGTTTCTTGTTGCAATGTGTCTGTGTTGTGCTGGTTTATTTCTTGCACATTGTGAGAAGCTCAAGGGAAGCTGGGCAGCTGTTGCTCACTGTGCTTTCATTGAGGGCCTCACTGAATAAATTAGAATACAAGTATAACTAAGAATTTTTTTAAAATACAGATTGAATTTTGAGACAATTCTTTCATTCTGTTTAAGGTTGTAAAACTCCTTTTATCGTCCTCCAATCTTTCCAGGGTGTATAAAGAGACTGCAGCAGATGTGAAGATCTCCCTTCACAGTTCTGTTGTTGTCCAAGGTGATTTAATATATAGTAATCATATTTGCTTTATAGTTCAGTTCATGGCTACTATAAGGATCAGAACCTTGTGCTTTTGAGTCCTGTGTCCCAGGTATTTTCATGAATTGTGTATGTCCAGAAAACATATATGACAAAGTTTAACTAAAGAAATGTATATGTTTAATTCTAGTTTTGAAACAAAATTATGTCAGATATTCTCTGATCTCAATGCTACTTACCGTACAATACAAGGCCATTTACAGTCTGAAAATTTCAAGGTATGTATTTCATTGTTATTTACATGACATAGAAGTCACATAAATAGATGTTCCTGCACAAGAGATTGCATACTATGATAGGTGGCTTAGACATCGATGTCTCTATTTAGGCTTTAAAAAGAATAATTTTAAAAAAGTTTTCTGTTTTGCAACAGTAGCCTTCAATTAAAGGAGGAAATAAGCATCTGCCAGCTGAAGTGTACCAGTAGATGTACAGTTGAGGAGTTGAGAGGATATCTATCTATCTATCTATCTGTCTGTCACTTGAATTGCAAAAAAGGCTTTCTAGCTTTCTTACTGTTCAGGGCCACCTGTATTTCAGTATCAGATGTGAACTTGGGTGGAAGTGCTCAGTGTGGGAAAGAAGCTCCTGAGCAGAACAACATAAAGTTACTTCTAAATGTTTTTTTTTGTGTCAACCTTTATTTTAGAGTTCTGATAAGCAGTCTGACCATGGGTACTTGAAAGTGGTTTTTGAGGTGAAATGCTCTCTGCTTCTTGGGCTCGACGCTTTTCCTTCTGTTTTCACGATGCCTCTGCACTCTTTTTGTTTTTCAGTCAGAAGCTTTAAATACATACCTTATAGAGTAGTTAATTTGTGTGTATTAAGATCTTCATCCTGGTTGTCCTCATTCTGCTCTCAATTGCTCTAGATTGAAAATCAGTTTTAGTTATCTGCTATTTTAAAACTTTCTTAAATTATTTGATAAAGAGAGGCAGATTTTTTTAATGTATCTACATCTTCAGTTACATTTAGTGTGTCAAACTTGAACTGAAACACATGTTTTCAAATATGCTTTTTAAAAAGGAATATGTTATTTGCTTTGGAAGGGACTTTAAAGATCACCTGTTCCAGCCCCCTGCCATGGCCAGAGACACCTTTCACTGAACCAGGTTGCTCAGAGCTCCATCCAGCCTGGCCTTGAACACTTCCAGGGGTGGGGCAGCCACAGGTTCTCTGGGCAACCTGTGCCATTGCCTCAGCACCTTCACACTGAAGAATATCTTGATAATAGTTAATCTAAACCAACCCTCCTTCTTTTTAAAGCCATTTCCCCCTTTTCCTGTCTGAAAGAAATCTTTCTCCAGCTTTCTTTTAGCCCCTTGGGGTGCTAGAAGGGGCTCTTAAGGTCTCCCCAGAGCCTTCTCTTCTCCAGGCTGAACAAAATGGCAGTAGGAACACAATTTCAGTTCAATAATATGTGTAACCCAATGTTAATTTTAGTTATTTTATTTTACAAACAGATATCTTCTCTTAGATTTGGTAGAGGCACCTCCTTCGAACATTGGGGCAGAATGAAATTTACTATCAGGGTAGAACTGGCAACAGCCAAAATGGATAATGTAACAGGAATTTAAAGGGAAAATGAAACCCCCAAGTGAGATTTCTTGAAATGTAGTTCTTATATATGTATTTTTGTAAAATTACTAGTCTTCCCCAGCATGGTATCGTTGTAATATACTTCAGTATGGAACTGCTTAAGAATAGTTGTCTGCAGTAGTAGTTCTCTGTGGTCTTTTTCCCATCACATAAAATTTCTCAATACAAATGTTTTAGCATTTATTTTTTCCTCTTGCTTCTAGCAACGGGTGATGACTTGCTTCCGAGCATGGGAAGACTGGGCAATCTATCCAGAACCATTTCTGATCAAACTACAGAATATTTTCTTGGGACTTGTAAATATCATGGAAGATAAAGAAACAGAGGTAAGTGACCTCAGGAGTGATACTTGCAGACAGCAGGGAAAAAATGTGTTAATATAAAATAGAGCTGGCAAGGATTATTTTGCTCTCTCTTTTAGGGTGAATAAACCTTTCTTTCTTCCAAGTCCTTGCTCCAAAAGAGAGGTGTAACATATTGTCAGAAGAAAATACTGTTTATTCTGTTGCTATGTTTCTTGCTTGTAGATTAGGTGATGCGATGGAGTTACAGTGTGAAAGTGTTTCAGAGCAAAGACTAGTACAGAATAAGAGGTATTTCTTTTGTGCTGGAAATATTCTGTAATACCTGTCTTTGAATTCTGAATGGAGTTTCAGGCATTGTAACTGTGTGGAAAGATGCCTTTCAGAGCAGTGGGAGGGAGGTCTGTAGTATAATTTAACTAAAGCTGATTTATTGGAGTGGAAAAGCAGGGTGAATACACACTTATGAAGGACAGTGCCTGTACATAACAAGTTAGAATACACAGTTGTATTTCTAATTTGTGTGGTCCTTAAATTGGTGTTCCTGCTAGATAGTCTGTGTCTGTTGTTCATTTTAGTGGTCTTGAGGAAACTTTTGTATCAAGGAGTTATGATTTATCTGACTCTAATTGACTGATTTTGAGCTAAACTTCAACTTAATAGCTCTTCTTTTGAATATAGCTATTGGAAAGCTTCCAGTACATTGTGGACAAATTCAAGTTCTTGCCTGTAATTTTTTATAGGGAGATATTGTTGTGTTATTTCCCTTACAATAAGCAACTATACTGCTTAGCAAAAATTGTTGAAGTAGGTATTTTGGGGGTTTTGGTGTTTATGAAAGTGCTTCTTTAAAAAGAAATTATTTGATAATTGGTGAAGTAAAGCAATATAGATTTGTGCTTGAAATAATGACATATTATGTGCTTCCAGGAAGTACCAGATGATCTTGATGGTGCTCCCATTGAGGAAGAGCTCGATGGTGCTCCACTAGAAGATGTGGATGGAATTCCTATTGATGCTGCTCCTATTGATGATCTGGATGGAGTCCCAATTAAATCGCTGGATGATGATCTTGACGGAGTTCCTTGTACGAAATGTTTCAACTTTCAGATTGATTCTTCAGTCTTGGATCTTTTCTTCATGCATAGTTTTTAGAAATACAGCCTAGAATTGATCTGGCATGTAGCTTTGTAAAATGTTGATTAATTTCAATATGCTGTACTGTCTTTAGACACAGGAGGTGTTTTCTGATGCTACACAGCAGGATCTAAACCTGGTTTCTTACTTTGCAAATACTAAGATTGTATAATCTGTTTCATTGTTTAAGTCTGACTGTTATCTTAGTACTTTTTGGTTTCAACTTCTGAGAAGCTTTCGAAGTTATTTTTCTGTGTCTCTTTCTTCACCAGTGGATACAACTGAAGACTCAAAGAAGAATGAGCCTATATTTAAAGTTGCCCCTTCAAAGTGGGAAGCAGTGGATGAATCGGAACTGGAAGCTCAAGGTTAGTTCTGAAAGTATCTCTTTGAAGTGAACTGAAAGCATAATGTCCCTTATGTAATGATTATTTTCAGGTGATTTGTGCTAAATTGCTAATAGGATTTACGTTGTAACGTACTAGGATTTTCTGTTGTAACTTGTTCACTGAATTTTTAACCAAAAAGGAAAATAGTGCGTTCTGTTATGGTTATTCTCCTTCAATAACCTGTCAACCTTTAAAAGTAACTTTCAGTTTATTAAGAATAAATACTGAAAGCAAACAACAAAAATCTGGGCATGTAGCTGGCAGTCTTTTTAAACCTTGGTTTGAAAGATAATGTTTTACAAACGGACAAATACTTGTGTGGTTTTGAAGGATTTACTGCAATGTGATGTGCAGTGTGAGTGAATAGCTCTGTGAGTAGTAAATATTCTGATAATGGGCTGGTTGAATATTTCTGTGAAATAGAAAGTCTGTATTAAGTGCTAGGTGCTGGTAAATTTTACCACACTTTAATTCTTATTATATGTTATAGACTGTATATATCTTACTATAATTATATTACAAATACTGATTTTCAGATTAAGTGGTAGCTTTTTTGTTAAAATTATCCTGCTGTCTCTTCTAGCTGTTACTACTTCTAAGTGGGAGCTTTTTGACCAACATGAAGAATCTGAGGAGGAGGAAATTCAAAAGTAAATACTTTTTCATTCTAAGGAAAACATATTTATTTTATGTATCTAACATTGAGGTTTTGGAACGCCTTATTAGATATATATGTTATTTATTACATCAGTAGAACAAAAATGAAATCTTGAAAGTAGGAAAAGAAGAAAATGGAGAAAACTCAGGATTTTAGTGCAGCATTCTTTCAGCCCCCATGATTTTTTTCTAACATGATAAATTACATCTTTTAGTAGAGTTTTTAACTATGATCTTTGAATTTGTGCTGATTTGAGAATTCAGCATCAAATAGTAAGAGCTAAGGTAGTAGTATGGAAATCTTGCTGTCAGGTATATATGAAAGAATTTAAACCTCTTCCTTCTGCTGCTGAGACAAGCGCAGTGAGTCACGTTCTGAGGTGTTTCATTGGATGCTGATAGGCTCCATGCCAGCAGAAGTTGTTTTTGAGTTGTCTTTTACTTTGCTCTTCAGGCAGCTGAGAGGGTCTGTTAGTTACTGCTGTAAATACTTCCTGCATTGCAGGGAGTCCTGCAGCACTCTAGTGGCCAGCCTGGAAATGCAATTTTGGGTATCTGCCATCTCTCAGGTTTATCTCCCAAAAGCAAAAGTAGTAAATATTGTTCTTCTATTGATATACCTGAGAAGCACCATTACAGCACTTAGAGTTTCTGCTGAGGGAGTGGGTTTCCTTTTGTAGCTGAGATAGATATGTATTTGATGACTGTAAATTTCATTAATTCTTCTGCACTCTGTTTCTATGAAAAGTGTAAAAGTGTAATAAAAACTAACAGTTTAATTAAATAAAAATGAAAGTTGGATACTAATTTGTAGCTGCAGACCTACAGATTTAACAGATTTCCAAACTAGTAACTAATCCTACAAACTAAGGGAAGTACTACATTTCATATATACTTAAGAGATCTTAGTTAATTCTATATGTTTTCTTTAAAGTCAAGAAGAAGAAAGTGAAGATGAAGAAGACACACAGAGTTCTAAGTCAGAAGAACAACACATGTATTCCAATCCTATTAAAGAGGAAATGCCTGACTCCAAATCATCAGTCAAATACTCAGAAATGAGTGAAGAAAAGCGTGCCAAACTCCGAGAGATAGAGGTGAGCATGGGGTGTTTCGTGCCATCCTTCTGTACCTTTCCAGTCCTCAGCCCTTCCTGAGTTCTCTACATACAGCTGGGAGTTGTTTTTACTGAAATAATTATAGTCCTATTATATAGTGGATTTTGTTGTAGTCCGGTGTGTTTTTGTAAAGTTTAGTTTGTTCACACCCTTACCTTGCCTGGTTTTAACGTTTAAAATAAAATAGAAATAATAATATTTTGACAGTAAAAATGAAGAATAGAGTCAGGGCATATTGCCTGTTGAGAAGGACTGTTTTTTTTCACTGTTCTGTTTCACTACCACTGCAGCTTTAGATCACTTGGATGCCCTTACACTTTCTTCTCCTTGGAAAATTAACTTTTGGGATTAACTTTTGGATATGGCCTTAGTCCTCTACCTTTCTTGTTTTTTCTGTTTCTTGCCTTGAAGTATCTGTATTTTATTGCATTTTAATGTGGTTTTTTTCACTGTCTCAGCCATCAAACAAAGAAGTAGATACAGCTAACCCATGTAGTCATGAGTTGGAGGTATTTTGATTGAAGCCCTACAGGGCTCCCTGGTTCTTCTTTCCTTTCTCCAAGTACACGTGTTAGTGTAGCTGTTAAGCTTAATCAACAGAGGTTGTTATGGCTTTGTTCTGGCTTCTGAGCTTGTGCTTGACTGAGAAGGTAACTAGAACTGGAATTTAGCACGAGCTTTGTGTAGCAGTGAAGCCTTTCTGACATACACTGCCATGTAAAATCAGGTGTAAAGTTGTATGTGACTTCCTGGCTTGTATTCAGACCTGGGTTACATTGAATACCAGAATTTTTGTAGCTTCAGTTCAGTGCCTTAAAATGATATTAAGAAGTTGCTAAATGCTTATTGCAGTTGCAGCATCTCCAAGCGACAGGTTATAACCTGGGTAATGTTTGGAAGGTGGAATTGTGGCTGCCTACCTGTTCATGCTGTATGGTGCTAGTTAGCTACAATCAGACATTGGCCAAGTGTCATAATATTCTTTTAAGATGTTTAGCCAATAATATTTGAGAATGTCACAAATGTTGTTTCTCTTAAATATGCCTCCTTTTAACTATTCAGATTTTATTGAAATTAATAGACTCTCACTAAGCACTTAGAAATCTCTTGCATTGCACAGCAGTTTGATAGTTCCTGATATACAGCCATATTAAGTGAATAAATTCTGCATGTGAGAAGCTGAATGGGATTTATGTCTGACCTGACTCACGGTGGCAGTATCTTTGTAGAAAATACATGATGTTAGACTAATGAAAGTACAAGTGAATAAGTAATTTTCATGTTGCTGTAATATTGATTGTAGCAGTTATGGAAAGAGCTCCTTTCAGCCTGAGTATCTGTTTTACAGACATTATCTTGGCAGTTGTGGAGGCAGATTAGTTAGTGATTTGCTTTATCATTGTCAGTTTTGAACTGCACAAGTGTTTTAAGTTCTTTCAGCATTTTATTCTGTCAGTAAAAGTTTTAGGTGGCAAATATTTGAGTTTTTCAAGTGCATGCTTGCATTTTATTCTTTTTGGTAAGTAAATTACCATTTTGATTTCAGACTTTTGGAATTGCCTGAAGAGGAGAAAAAATTTTTTCCTATTGAGAACATTTCAGACACTATGTAGGAGTACTTAAAATTTTGCTCAAGTTTGTCATTGACAGGAAAGTACTCCCTGTACTACTTCAAAGCATTCACACTCATGGTTCTTCTTAGCATGTACCCAATCCCTGCCAAAACCCACATCCATTGTTAAATTTGAGGAAAGGAGCTGAGGAAAAAAACAACCAATTACCAGCTTTAAATTACGCCGTCTAATACGCACTGTAAAAAGTGTTGTGTGAAATATTTGGCAAAAAAATTGGTGAAATTTAATTCTCCAGCTTGCACGGTCTATACAGTGACTGCCAGGGAAGCTAAAAAATATTTTTTCATGCATTTTTTGGAAATTCATTAACAAAGCAACAATTCTTTCTCTTGGCACAATTAGTAAATTAAGTTTGTTAGCTGGAAGGAGAAAGTGAAGAAACAAACTTTGGCCTCAGCCCTTAGACTGGTGCCATCAGAGGAGGCAAGTTAGTAACCTTTTGTTTCCTTCCTTCATGCCCCTCTTAATCCTTCTGAAGTGTGAATTCTTTCCTGAACTTAGCAGGAGCAGAACCTTTCCTATAATGCTGAAGAACAGTGATTTCTTAATGTTTTTTTAAGTGTGGAAAGACTGGCACTTTGCTTTGTATTATAACTCAGATTTCAGAGTGATCTTTATGGTGGTTTGTGTGTCTTTCTTCCCCCCTGAGACATCTAAAAAAAGGTGTTTTCGTCTCTGTAAAGAGACCTTAGTGCTATGAAGTGGTAAAAAAAGGGGAAATTTATTATTTAAATTGTTCATTAAGCATGTTCCCTTAGAGTGTAGATAAACTCACAGACAAAATGAAGCAACATATTCCTCTTTGGACCTTTATCTAGGGTATCTTACTTCTGCCTCCACCTTGCTGCACAAATTTTGATAATCCTACTCCAAACAGAAATGCACAGCACAGGTTTCATCTGCAGCAGGAGGCAGGCTCATCACAAACTTGCAGAAGGTTTTAGTTCTTCTAGACCAAAAAAAAAAACCAAAAAAAACCCAAACCCCAAACAAAACAAAACCAGACCAAAAAAACAAAAAAAAAAAAAAACAAAAAAAAACCAAAAAACCATGGAGAAATTATGACATTTGCTTAAGTTTGTGACTCTGTCAGGGATACTGCAGCAAATTTAGTGTTACATTTGGCAGCACTTGAGAACTGAATTTGGTTGCTAAGCTTGTTAGCACATGAAAAAGTATTATGTTAGTAAAAATCAGTTCTTTCAAATCAGCCACGCTGTGCAAACAACCCTGAAGAGGAGGTGCATTGTTTTATGTCCTAATTATGTCAGTCATTTGATTTTAACATTCAGGGTTAAATGGAAAAAAGGCAGTTTCCAAAGGAAACTTTGAAGTAGACAAGAGAAGTTGAAAGAATATATTGACACCTGCAGTAAATTATTTCATTTTGAAAGGAAAAAAACAGACAATGACCCAAGAAATACAAGGGTGCAGTGTACTAATGATGGGAACAGAATTTAGTAGAGTAACAGAAAAAAATTCCCTCTATTTTTAGTTCTCACCATGTCTGTAAACAACTGCAGGTGCTGCAGATGAGTGTGTGGTTTTGTTACTTGGATCCATTTTAAATAAATTTAGTATCTCTGTGCACAAGCTTTTATAGAAGGAATGAAGAATACAGATTACATGTAATGGAAATTTCATTTTCAGCCACCTGCCTAACTGGATAATAATAAGTCACATAATCTAATGGTCAGTATTATTTTCACAGCTTAAGGTGATGAAGTTTCAGGATGAGTTAGAGTCTGGGAAAAGACCCAAGAAGCCAGGCCAGAGTTTTCAGGAACAGGTTGAACACTATAGAGACAAGCTGCTCCAGAGGGTAAGAGCTGTTCTTTGTTTGCCTCTGATTCTGTGATAGGATTCCATTGAGTTTATTGAATGTAAGGTGGCTTTAAACACAACAACACATGGTTCTTGTTAAAATACTGCTGTAATATCAAACTGCATGTCTAAGTCCCAGTGCTTTCTGCAGAATACATACAATCTCCTTTTTTAATCCAAGTCCTGTGGTGTTTCCCACTGCACTGCTGGGTATCAGAGCCTGTGTAGAAACCTTAGGGACCACTCCTGCACCTAACAGCAAACTGTAAGGTGTGGGAAAGCAAAGGGGCAGCCTCAGTTGAAGATGTTCATCACACTTCTCATTCTGCTTTTAGTAATTGATCTGTTGTGCTCAAGGCTTCCCAAGGAAGGGAGAAATAGTTTTAGGCAGCGTATCTGATTGTACCATGACCATTTTTAGAAGACCTCTCTGGACTACGAAGTCAGAGTGATTTTAAAAGTTAACCTCTTCTATGTGATGTGATATGATGTGATCTCAAACGAACATAATGAACAAACAGCCTCTTTGGACATTGCATATAGTGAGGGAGGATAAATGACAGTTGCTTTTCCCATCTGGTTTTACAGCCTGATAGATCACTGATGGAATTCAGTACCCATGCAGTTCCTTGGAAGCTAAATACAAATAAGCAGTTTCCACCAGGGGTTTTTCTGTCACTTGTAATTTGCATTATTTGGTGCTCAATATCTGACTAATTCACAATACCTTGAAGAAAAAGACTTTTAAAAATTAGGTAAACTGTTCCCTGAAGGAGATGCACACATGGGAGGATGATGTTTGCAGTTAAGACTTTATAAGGCTTTTATAATTTTCTTTCTAGTAGTTGTATTGTAAAACTTTCCACTTTCTTGACATTTTCTGTAAAATAAATGATTTGTAGTAAGCACAGAATGCTTAGTGAGGCAGTAGATTAAACAAACAGAAATAGATAATAACAGTCCTGATAAAATTATAGATGCCTTGTGTTGAATTAGTTCAACCAGCTCACAATATTTTGGATTTTTAGTAATTGTCTCTTTCACTTTCAAGAAAGAAATATTTATAACCATTACTATTTATTATTTAAATTTATTATTTAAATTATTTAAAACCATTATTATTTATTTATTTAAATAATATTATTAAAATATTATTTTAAACAATTATTTAAATTAATAGTAAATTATTTAAATTATTTAAAACAATAGTAACTCTGTTGTTAAGGGAATAAATTCATCTTTTGCTTTAATGCCATAATAAAGTTAGTTTTTGTAACAATAACATCATACTGATCCTGATTACATTTCCCATGAACTTGGTGGCTGGTTGTTCTTTTTTATCAAACTTACAATAAGCTTTCCAAGAGTTAATTTCCCAGCAGCATTGTATATTGTTTAGAGACTTAGAGCTATTGAAAACACTATTTATTCTTATTTATCAAGATAAAATACATAGTTATGCTGTCAAATAAACCTGGCACATCTTGAGAGTGCAGTGATTTTAGAGATACCCAACAGGAGTTTGTATGAACAGGTGTAAGGATAAGGACACTTGCAGATTTTACTGCTAAGCCTTCCCAGTAAAAAGAATGTGAAACTAGATGGGGATAAATGTCCTGGTATTTCCTGCACTTAGGTTACCTCCCCTTCCTCTACTGTTTTTTCTTTTCTTTTTTTATTTTTTCTTCACCATCCCCCCTTTTTTTTCCATTTAGCTAAGTCACCCGTTCTTTATCTTCTTTATGGGCTATGCAAGGAATATCTGTTTATTTTTTGCCATGGAATTGATTTTTTTAAATGAATGATCAGTACTAAAAACCACAGCATCTGATCTCTGTGTTCAGACTTGCTGATGAGGTTTATTTTTGTGTAGTTAATTTTCTGTTTGACAGACAGACTCGGTGTGGTCAGGGTTTGTATTTTCTCTCAAAATGGTCCTGTTGATACCTAGAAATGGACTAGAGTTGTTTGTTTTTGACAGAGTAGATGTTATTGCAGAATCTTGTTTGTATTTTTGTTTTGTCTTTAGATAACTTCTAGTTATGAGTGTATATCAATTTTCAGTATGGATGACTGTACATGTTTAAAGTAGAAAGAGGTTCCTGGTATTCTTCCATGTTTAATTTAGTATAGAAAATGTATTACAGCTGTAATATTTCCCTGAAATTTGTAACATTGAAGACTGTTCATTTCCAGTTAGACACTCAGATTTTCTCACACAGGCTGATATCCCTCATGTTTTTGTCAGTTGGTGTTACAGTAAATGTTTGTGCTGTGTCCCAAGCAGGAGGAAAGGCCTGGAGCTGGGAGGGTGTGACCATTAGTTCAGATATGTGCTGTGTTCCATCAGTGCTCACTGCTTTTATGCTGTTTGTCATTAGCTTGATTGCCTCTAATAATTACTCACACCTTATCTGAAATCATGATGTTTCTAATAATCTAGGAAAAAGAAAAAGAGATGGAAAGAGAACGGGACAGAGACAAAAAGGACAAGGAAAAGTCTGAGACCAGGTCCAAAGATAAGAAGGAAAAAGAGGAATGTACACCAACACGAAAAGAGAGGTATGGCTCTCCTTGGACTGAAGTAGATGGGAGGAAAAGCCTGACAGTATCTTTGCAGGCAGTGGCAGCCTTGAAATCACACATCTTGTATCACACATCTGATTTTAAAAGAAAAATGCAGAACCAGCCAACAAAACAAAAAACCAAACCCCGTGCTTTGGCTATTAAAACATTCTCCAAAATGTCAGAGGAATTGTCATTTTTACCCTGCCCCAAGTGAGGTCCCTTTGAACAGAGCTGCCCTTTGGCTCATTTATGCCCTGGGGAAGCATGGTCAAATGATTTCCAGTTGCAAACGGGGTTAACTGTCTTGTGGCAGTGGATTGCCTGCAGTGCCTCAGTCAGAGAGCTGTCCAGAGGAGTGGCCACAAATGAGACACAGAGGTTTCAGTGTTACTCCTCTCACAGTGCAGATGCTGAGCAGCTGGGTTTGGGGTAGCTGGCTGGACACTGATCTTCTGCTGATCTGGTGCTTGCATAGCCAAACTCTGCCGTGGTTCTAAGTGTAGCTGTCATAAAAGGCCTTGCTTTTCAGGGAGCTGTGACAGAACGTGTTTACTATTCTACCATCATTATTACCAAATTACTCACAGGCCTTAATTTTTTTTCAAGCAGAGAAAATCCGTTAAACTTAACACGACGTTAAACTTGGGGTTTTTTTTTTTTTGTTTTAATAATAAAAAGCCTACAATACCTTAATTACTTACAAGTAACTGACATGACACTGGCTAAAGCCAAGCCCCCGGCGGGGAGCAGGTGTTCTGACCGTGTGTTTTCCCTCCCCGCGTGCGTGCTGCCTGCCGCGGCAGGAAGAGGCGGCACAGCGGCTCCCCCAGCCCGTCCCGCAGCAGCGGCAGCCGCCGCGCCAAGTCGCCCTCGCCCAAGTCGGAACGCTCGGAACGCTCCGAGCGCTCCCACAAGGAGAGCTCCCGCTCCCGCTCCTCACACAAAGATTCTCCCAGGGATGTCAGTAAAAAAGGCAAAAGGTGAGCTGGTATCTTCTCTGGTTCAGGGAGCTGGTGGGTGTGTTTGGCTGGCGTTTGGGGAGCAGGGGGGTGTTTCAGCAGAGCACATCTGATACTCGGGTAGCAGGCTCTCACAGTGCACGTTCCTCATTAATCAGGGGGGTGTTTCAGCAGAGCGCATCTGATACTCGGGTAGCAGGCTCTCACAGTACTCTGCAGTGCACGCTCCTCATTAAGGCCTTCGAGCACTGAGGCTGGAAGTCCACACAGCCTCCTGCCCTGATACAGCTCCAGAGTCTGTTCTGCTGTGGTTTTCTTTACCTGTTTACTGGTGATTTTAAGAAATGCTGCTTTAAACCGGAGCACCTTACTGCTTTCTTAGCTTTTTATTTTCAAAGGATGTCTTCTGTAGTCCTAAAATTCCTGTAGCCCTTCTAAAGAACCTCTCAAATTGGAGTGACCATGCAGCTTTTCACTGATGGTCAGCTTACATGAAGCTTCTCACTCCCACAGTTCGTTTTTTAAGGGAAAAAAATCAGATATTGCCTATGGGGTTTTGTTTCCGAGATAGGTATTTCCTAACCTCCACCCTGACACAAATATTTGTCTTTAGTTAATGTTAAACTTGAGGTGAAATTTTATTATTCTGCTAAAGCTGCTGTATCTTGGAAGTTCACCTTCCACTTCTTTTAGAGGTGTAGAATATCTCACTGATATAAAATTCCTCAGTCAGGCTGAGGAGTACTCCTTTGATGGTGTTGAAAAAAATCATAGCACTTAACTACAGTATTCTTGTGCTTATATAAATAAGGATTTCAAATAAAAGTAGAAAAGTAGTTGAGATTTTATTTTTAGAGTTAATATGATGCTCATTGAGGTTTCATTATATTAGATCAATATGTTAGGGGTGGGTTAGATGACAGTAAATTTATTCAGTGTTCCTTCTTTTTCTGTGGGGCTGGATCACAATCTGAATATGCTTGATGAAAATCAAAAGTATTTCACTGTAACACAATTGAACATAGTTTTTAATTTCTGTGTGGACATAGGCTGCAATTCATACAAGAGCCAGGCTAGCTGAGACTCATGTGAAAGGCTGTGAGCTCCTGGTGTGGGTTTAAGGATATAGTGTGTGTTATTTTTCATGTGGGTTCTAAGCACTGAAGTTAAGCCCAAAATACTCTCAAAACCTTATAATGTAAAAATGGCCTTTTTTCCAAAAGCAACATATCATCCTGTTACTTTCATTATTAGGGAAAAATTTTTTCTGCCTCGTTTGGCTCAATAAATAAATACAAATAACTTCAGGAAAAGATGCTTTTCTCTATTAATATTTGACTTTTTTTTTTTTTTTTGGCAGGTCGCCATCTGGCTCCAGGACACCCAAAAGATCAAGAAGATCACGATCCAGATCCCCTAAAAAGTCAGGGAAAAAATCCAGGTCTCAGTCCCGTTCTCCTCACAGATCTCACAAGAAGTCAAAGAAAAGCAAACACTGACATTGTTAATATTTTTTATGATGCTGTCACTTACTGGAAATGCGGTTTTGTTTTTGTGCCTGAACAGTCTGTTTAAAAACAAAAAAGCATTCCTGATTTTTTTTTTGTGAATGCACGTGTATACTCATGAGTATCTGCATCTGTAGACCTGTCATTGTTTTATATTGTACAAAAATATCTTCATTGTGACTATTTCCCAAAAGAAACATTTTTGTGTTTAGAAGTTTCATCAGAAATGTGTGTAACTGATCTGCTGGCAGTAGTGATATTTTGTTTTTAGAATGTTGTGACATAGCAGAAATAACCCAAATGTTCCCCCTTTTTGTAGCTTTGACAATTTGAATTAGATTTCAAATAAAATCTGAACAGAAAATGAAGATGTTGTTTTCTTGCCCCAGTGGTGATGCAGATCCCAGAGGGAGTGCAGAGTTTGTCTGGGAGTTCTGTGTATTTCAGACAGACTGGGGTGCTGCATGGTTCAGTGCAGCGTGGCTCTGTTCTGTTCTCACTGGTTTGACTGCCCAGATACAGGCACCTGAATCCAGTGGAGGGGGTTTCTTTCCTGCTGTGAGATTTTACTGTAAGAAGAGTCCAGCAGTCTGGTACCTACCCCAATAAGCTTTACAGGTAAATCTTTGCTTCCTGTGTCTGCATTTTAACCACAGGGAACATTTATAACACCACTGTAATGTTTGTGTTCGTTTTTACAAAAGGGCCTCTGCAAAGACACATCCTCTGGGGGTGTGTGTGTAGCATATGTGTGATGTCTCAGTAACAAGCCACCTTTGTGGCACACATGGGGAGCACTAAAGCACAGCATGCCTGAGGCTCTGTGAGTTCTTACATATAGATAGAATAATTGCAGCCTTCAGTACACTCTTGTTTTCTAAAGCTGATTTTTCCTGCAAAAGGACATCTTTTATATTATTTTACTGAATTTATTCTTCTGTTGTGAAAATTCTTGAAGATGGGAAAAATTAAATTTTACTACATATTTATTAATTTTGATTTGAGAGGCTGTTTAACTTCCTTTTTCATGTTAGGCTTTCCCTTCTCCAAACCTCTTCTGTGTCTTATGCATTGATGTGGCTTTAAATTGCATCACCTCACCATGCAACCTTTCTGTGGGTGGGAGAGGGGGAGGTTTCAGTGTTTACACGTGGAGGTGTGGGGAGATGGAAATAAAATTCTAAAATCAAAAGGGATCTGGCCTCTTGTGAACTGTCCGTGAAAGCCAAAGGTGTGCTTAGCTGCAGCACAGAGTGCTGGATGGTGGCCTGCTGGTACATTGGTGTGTCCACAGGCTTCTCACAGTTAGAGATTTGTAAATGCACTGGGGAAAACCTCTTGGACATGTAAATCACCTCACTGGCTGCCCTTCCAGAAGCAGGATCTAAAAGGTCTTACAAAAAAGAAAACAAAATGTCTCTCTTTTTTTTTCCTGATGAGAGACATTGTTATAAGATTATGTAAATGGTTGCATGTGTGATGCAACACATCACGTATGTGATGTTTTTTCCAATGAGAATGCTGCAGTGATCTGGAACACTGAAAATATGAAGAATGCATGCATACTGTAAAGACTTAGAATGAGTATTGAATAGATGCATTGATAATGAGAAAATAATACACCTTTTATCTGTTTGTAATACATTATAAAAAATCTGTTTTAGAAATGTGCAGAGTTTATTTTTTGTATTTTTTTTTCTGCCTGTAACATAAGGTGATTCAGGATAGGATTCAGCAGAGATTTTGGTTGCTAAACTATTATAAACAAATTATTTTTTTTCCTTAAATGCTGTGTATTTATACTTGGCACAGACCAGATGAGGCTTTCTAGAAAGAAAAGTAGGTATTAAAATCAGTTGGGGATAGGGAGAATCCTAACTGTGCAGTGGGAAGATGAACAGATCCAATTAACTTCTTCATTACTTTTATCTTGTAGCTGTTTATAAATGGAGGAGTGATAAATGTCAGTGTTCTGGGTCAAGTGGGACTAAAGATGCTTTGCCACAGGAGTATTTTATCTGCAGAATCAATTGTATATTTCATTTAATAGCTAAAAACCCTCAGGGTAGAAAAACACTTAGCATTTCAGGTACTTTTCAATAATTAATTTTCATTTCAGCTTTTACAAAATTCTCATCAGTGATTATAGAAAGCTTAAGCCAAGTAGCAAGAGAGCTAAAGGAGCACACCCATTAGGGTTTATTTTGTAACTGCTCTATTATGCAATGCCTTTTTCAGTATCTGTTCTCTAAATACCATAGCCATACCTCTTGTTCTTTGCTTTGTGTCCTGGGCTCTAAAACAGCTGATCTTACCCAATGGTCTCTTAAGAGCACTTCAGAATCTGTATCTTTTACTGAATTGCCTGGACTTGTTTGCCCTGTAGAAAAGAGTATCTTTTGATCCTGCTTAATCTTAATTTCCTCCTGCTTTTGTACTTTTGTTTATAGCTTGGCTTTTCCACAAAGAGAAGCGGGAAGGAGGCGACATCTGCTAACAAATATTTTGTAAAAGATGCAAAGTATTACTGAAGACTTAAAATCAGGCTTATGAAATTCATTTTTCTTTAGGTCACGTTGTGGTGACAAGGTGCAGTTGCCGTATGCCATTACTATGTGACTTGTGTTTCTGCAGCATTTTGGGTGAAGTGCTGAGTGGGTAATGTGGATAACTGATCTGAGATTCAGGAAGCAGCATTCAGATGAAGCCTTGTGAAATAAAGTTCTGTCCTGAGGAGGTGTGGTCCTGTGTCTCCCCATGGTTTCTGTGTGGTAGAGGAAGAAGGAGCCCATTATCCTCTGAGAGCCCTCAGTGTGCGAGTCCAGCTCTTCACTTTGGGAGGCGTGGAGACACGAGTAACAGGCTGGCTCCTCTCCTGCCCTACCTTAGGGAAACCAGAGGGAGATGTTCATTCTTCAGTGTTTAGGCTTGTCCAAAGCAGAGAAAGTGAGTGTAGCTTGTACAGCCTGGTTCTAGCCTGGCTGGGAGCAGCCTGTAACAGAGTGGGGTGACCTTGGGAAGGGAATGTCCCTGGTATGTTCCCAGATCTGTGCTGGATGCTGCTGTCCTGGTGGGCTTTGGTGAAGCCTGCCCTGCACTCCTGCACTCCCATGCTTATGGGAAGGGCTCCAAGGGCCACAGCTGCAGGTGCATTGCTCTGAGCCGGTCCTGGCCCCAGGCGTGTCTCCGCCAGGCTTGCTCAGACTCAGTGCTGACCTGTGGGCCCTGTGCTGCTGCAGAAGGCTACACAGTGCGTAGGGCCTCCTTGCAACAATTAAAATCTTCCCAGTGTTACAGAAGTGTTTGTCTCTGAACTGCCTGTTTTAAACTCTGACTTCCTTTGGCTTCCCTGCACAAGAGCTGCGTGTATTTTTTTTGATACTGTTTGAGGAAGAGTTGGTTTCTGAATGTCAGTGCCAGGGTATTATTCAGACACTGTACATGTGCATGTGGTCTCCCCCGCCTCCCCTTTGCAGGTATTGAAGTGTAAGAATCAACAACCACTTAGGAACAAGGGTAACAAATCAATGTTTCCCAAAGCATGTATTTAGAATTGCAGCTATCGCTGATGTGGGTTCATCTGTGCTGGTGACACAAGAGCAAAGAGCTCACGTAACACCTTAAAAACCAGAATCTTGGGATGAGAAAAGCAAGGTCAGCCACAAATGGCAAATCTGCTCTGACTAATCACTTGAGGCAGCTTGCTTGTGGGGTTTTCCTCCACAGGCATTGATAGTGCTTCAGTGGAATTAATACTTTGAATAAATAAAAATGCAAAGCATTGCTGTATTTCAGCAGATGGACTGAGGTCTGAACTTGGTAGTTTTTAGATAGGTAGCTTGCTGCATGCACTTTTGTACAGCTGTGTGAAGAGTTTGGGGTGGGATAGTTTTCATCTATTCTCGGCCTGCCCTGAATACTTAAGGTGAATATTCTAGAGGAGAAGACAGCAACAATGACATAACCTAGAGGAGAATTTTACTTATCTTCTCTTAAAATCAAGCACTGTTCAGGATCAATTAAGCTACTCAGTAAACTGAGATTTATCAAATTACAAACATGATAGTGCCAGTCTGAAAATTTTATCAGTTTTCTGAATATGGCTGCTGAGGTAATTTTATTAAAATAACTCATAGTAGTATTTTAAGATTTCTTTTTCTCAGTGGTGCATGTGCTGTGTCAATACTTCCAATACTTTGGTAGTTCTTACTGCTGCTGGAGCTGCTGCTCCTCAATTTGTAAGCCACTCTTGTAAGAATAACAACTAAAATGCTAATTTAATTTTGTCCAAATCTCTTGCCCTGTAGGATACAGAAGTCTCAGACAATTGCATACTGTTTTTCCTCCACCTGCTTCTGTCTGTACAGTGTTGGTTTTCATGGGTGAGCCTGTGCCATTTGCCACTTCTGATGTCTGGTCTTGTGCTGGGATGTTCTACAGTGTAACTCTGTCATAAGCTAGAAAGTTTTCTGTTTGTGGTTATTTAAAGAGGAAATGGTAGTTTCACATGCACTTTTTTGTCTTACTTGCTTTTGGGTTTGTATTTTATACAGAAAATTTTCCAACTGACATGGCAACAATAAAATTGTCAGTTTGCTGATTGCCAGAAATGGTTTTATTTTTAAGCTGGAAGAGAGCAATGTTCGTGCCTGCTACGCATGAACAGCTCCTTGGCCTCTGCTGCTCGATGCTGTTCTGCCTGTGTTGTCCAAGCCTAATGGCTGCTGCTGTTCTTCTGTCAACAGTGACCTCTGTGCTGCTCTAACTCGTTAATGAGGCATGGGCTGCTCACTCTAGTCTGTATGAATCTCCCTTGAACAAAGGATACTCCACTTGGGGCTGCTGCTGGGACAGGGAGATGGTGAGCAGCTCGTTAGCGCTGGCAGCGGTTTGCAGGAGGCCAGGGAGGGCGTGGGGCCGGGGGCGCTCTGCTGGGAGCTTGAGTGCTGTGGCAGGGCCAGTGTCACACCTCGGTGCTGCTTTGGGGCCAGGTCCTGTTCCAGCCCTCCCTGTGCCTCTTGTTCTCTCCTTCTGTCCTTCCTGCTGCCTTGTTTGACAGCTTGCCTTGTGGAAGGGGTGAGTGGGCACAGGGTGGGCAGGCTCACAGGATGAGGTGCAGGGCAGGAAGGATGTGCAGAACGGGAGCCGTCCCTTAGCAGCCTTGAGCTGCTACAGGCTGTGCCTCTGTCCTTCTCCCCTTTGCTCCAGGGACTCTTCAACACAGCACTCAAACCTGAGAGGAGCAAATGCCTCCAAGATAATTTAGGTTCTGCAAGATCTGTGAAAGATGAAAGAGAGGAAAGAGACCTCAGATGCCCCCACAAGATGGGAAAGGCTGGGATATGAACTCTTGATGTTAGAGGCCAGA